TACTTTAGTTATTGCAGCCCCCCCCCTTTTTATTTTCTACTGAGAATTGAACCCAGGGGTGCTTTACTGCTGAGCTACACCCTCAGCCCTTTTAATTTTTTTTTTTGAGAGAGGGTATCACTAAATTGCTGAGGCCAGCTTTAAATTTATAATCCTCCCACTTGAGCCTTCTGAGGCATTGAGATTACAAGCATGTGCCACTGCACCCTGCTAGTTATTGCAATTTTCAACTCCAGAATTTCCTTTTGGTTCTTCATCATTTCTATCTCCTTATTGATACTCTCTATTTGTTGAGACATTAGTCTCTTACTTAAGAACCCTTCAATCTCATGCTTCTCTTGATTTAACAAACAAATATGGTATCCTTTAGCTCTTCAAATACATTTAAAATAGCTGAAAACTACTAAGTTTTTTGAGCACACAAATCATTGCTTAAATTGTACTATTTAAAAAAATTAATCTGCCAACAATATTGATGTCTTGAATTTTTGATGCTGTTTGATATTTTCAATGAGTTTTTTTAGGTGAGTTCATATTATATAAAGACAACCATTTTAAAATATGTAATTCAGTGGCATTTAATATATTTTAATAAGGTACTGGGTAGCTCAGTTGGTAGGGCATAAGACTATTAATATATTCAAGTGTTTTTCATCTACCACCTCTACCTATTTCTTACACACTTTCAATACCCTAAAGAAAATCACGTATCTCTTAGGTAATCACTCCCAGATTCCCCCCTCACTCCAGTCTTGTTTCTATGTTTACCTATTCTGTTTCTATGTATTTACCTATTCTGAATATTTCATAAAAATGGAATCATGCAATATGCAAGCTTTGTCTGACTTAATTCACTGAGCACAATGTTTTTGAGTTTTTTCCACATAATGCACCAGTACTTAATTTTTATGGCTAAGTAGTCCATCACATGTATATGCCACATTTTGTCTAGCTATTCATAAATTGATGGATATTTGGCTGTTTTAAGTGGTGCTGCTATATTTATCTACTGATTTTTGTATGGGTGCATGTTTTATTTTCTTGTGGCAGATACCTATGAGTGAAATTGCTGAGCAATCCTAATGTTTTTAGAACTCACCTTCTTTCACAGTGTTAGACCATTTTACATTCCCACTAGCAACATACAAGAGTTCCCCTATCCCAAAGCCTCATCAATACTTGATCTTTTTCTGTATTTTTTAGTGAGGTCATTCTCATGAACGAAAAGTGATCTCTCTTGTGTGGGTTTCTTTTTTTTTTTGGTACCGGGGATTGAATTCAGGGGCATTTGACCACTGATCCACATCCCCAGCCCCATTTTGTATTTTATTTGGAGACAGGGTCTCACAGAGTTGCTAGCACCTCGATTTTGCTGAAGCAGGCTTTGAACTCGCAATCCTCCTGCCTTAGCTTCCCAAGCCACTGGGATTACAGGCATGTACCACCATGCCCAGCTCTCTTGTGGCTTTGAGTTGCATTTTTCTTATGATTACTTTGGTAGCATGGATTTCTTCTGAATTTATCCTGTTTGGAATTTGATAAACTTCTTGGGTATGTAGATTCAAAAATTTTTTTAACAAATTTGAAGTGTTTGGGACCATTATTTCTTCAAATATTCTTTCTGTCCCTTTGTCTCTTTTCTCCTTGAACTCCAATTTTGCAAATGTTGATATGTTTGTTGGCACACCACAGGTCTCCTGTTGGATAATTTCTAATAACCTAGTCTGAGCTCCACTGATTCTTTCTACTGCTTCTACAGTTTGCTCACATCTGCTATTAGAATCCTTTAGTGATTTTTTTCACTCATTATTATACTTTCCAGATCTTAATTTGTCCATCTCCTTTTTATAATTTCTTTATTGATAGTCTGTATTTGTGGAGACATTGCTTTCCTGGATTCTTTTAGCTCTTTGAATATATTTGAAATAGTTGCTTAAAATTTTTTGTCTAGCACTGATAGGAGTAAGAAATTATGATGTCCTATTGCACAGTAGGGTTGACAATAGATAACAACATTATACTGTACATTTCAATAAATCTAGAAGAAAGGATTTGGAATATTTTCACCATAAGGAAATGATAATTGGCTGGGTGTAGTGGTACACACTTGTAATACAAGTGAGTTGGGAGGCTGAGGCAAGAGTATTCCAAGTTTGAGGCCAGCCTCAGCAACTCAGCAAGACCCTAAGCAACTTAAGTGAGGCCTTGTCTCAAAAAATAAAAAAGGCTAGTGGTAAAGTGCCCCATAGTTCAATCTCCAGTACAAGTTAAAAAAAAAAAGAAAGAAAAAGTAGATATGTTGAATTGATAGTAAACATTATACAAGGTGTACATGTATTGAAATATCACATGGTACTCCATAAATGTATGTACTTTTTAGATTTTATGTATGTTTAAAAATTTGAAGAAAAATCACTTTCAGAATTAAAAAAAAAAAAAAGTCCAATGTGTACTTTCTCAGCGTTTATTCTTTGTTCCGTGAATGGGTCATGCATCATTTTGTTGAAAGGTGAGCATTTTGAATCTTTAATGTGGTAACTCAAAATCATCCTTTATTTCTCAGAGGCTTTATTGTTTGCTGTGGGTTATAGTAGCCTAGTGACTTTTTTAAGCTGTTTTTTTTTTTTTTTAACTTATGTGGTTTCTAAGGTCTCTTCTTTTTGCTTATGTTCAGCTCATGTGTTGACAGATTTCCTTGAAGACCCAGTCATCCAAAATATAAATAAAACAAAAACCCTCCTAGATTTGTAGATTGGCTGTATTGGGCTGCACCTTCAGCACTTAGCCAGGCCATTTAAAATCTGGCACAGCCTTTACTTCTTGCTTACACAGCCTAGAGAGCCGACAGGTGGAAGCTAAGGCTCAGATCTTTTCTCACTTTGCAACTTGCCATGGGCATGTAGCTTCCTAGATCCCCCAGCACATTTGTGGGTACTTTGGATGATCTAATTTCCCTAAAAAATTCTCTCCACTGCATTTCCTCTCAGGCTTTCAGCACTTCTTCCCTTGCCTCAACTGTAACTGTTGGCCCCAGAGAGCAGTGAGTTGTTCATTTGCCTTATTTTTTTTTTGTTTTGTTTTGGTACTGGGGACTGAACTCAGGGGCACTCAACCACTGAGCCACATACCCAGTCCTATTTTGTATTTTCTTTAAAGACAGGATCTCACTGAGTTGCTTAGTGCCTTGCTTTTGCTGAGGCTGGCTTTGAACTCGCAATCCTCTGCCTCAGCCTCCCAAACTGCTGGGTTTACAGGTGTGCACCACCATGCCATGTTGCCTTGTTTTTGAGAAATGCTTGCCTCTTTTCTATCTTGAGTTTTGAGTTAGTGAAACAAAAGCAATTCCTTCAGTTGTCTCAAATTAGAACAATCTTTTGAGAACAAAGCCTCTTTGCTCCCTAGAAACCAGGGACCACCAGAAACCCATGAGGAGAACATGGGCTGCCTTTTTTAGGACTACCGAAGAGACTTCAAAATGGGGAGGGGATGGTGAAGACCACATAAAACACCACAACACTTTCCTACTGTTTTGGGATTACCTTCTTCTTGACTCAGCATATAAACTGTTTTCCAAGTTAAGACATTGTTTCTCAATGTTTTTGCTTCATTTTTTTTTCATTGTTTCTGTGAAAGAACATGTCCTTGTAGTAATAACTACTACAAGTAATACTTACCCTACCCTGCTTTTAACAGTCCTGGGAATTGAACCCAGGAGTGCTCTACCATCAAGCTTCATCCCAGCTTTTTTTTTTTTTTTTTGAGACAGGGTCTCACTAAATTGCCTAGGCTGGCTTCTAACTTATGATCCTCTTGTTTCAGCCTCCTGAATTGCTGGGATTACAATACTATGCCATTTTAGTGGATGCAACTCTTGGTTACTTTTTGAGTGCCTAACACTGTATATGAAAATTTATTTGTATAGCTAATGTATGTCTCTAGAAGTTAAAATTTTATGGATTGTTTTTCCTTCTGTCAGGCAGTTAAATTAGGTGCATTAACAGTCTCAAGTTTAAAATAGAATAGAATGAGATGATTTAAAGCTAAACTGCAGTCTATTTCTCATTAATCTTATACCTAAGGAATAGCCCCTTGGAATGCAACTGGAAGCTTGGCATGTTTACCAGGGATATTATTCCTTGGTGGTACCTATGTAGAAGTTCATTTTAGTAGTACTAAGGCAGTTTATTAAACTCAATAATTGCCAGATAAGAATTATAAGGCAAGCAAGTTAATGAGGAAACCAAATTTATTAATTATGGATGTTCCAACGGCATTTTATTAGATACTGTGATAGTTTACGTTGACACCTGTTTGCAGAAAAATTATATCCCCTATTTCTATTAAAATAATTAATACTTCTGCAAGGTAAATTTAATTCCTTGAAGTAGAAAATTTTCTAATTCTCCAATATGGCAGTTTTATATCACTAATCAAAAATCATCTTTCTAAAATGTATATACTAAACTTGATGTAGACACAAAATTCTATATGCTCTGGTTCTTCATGTTGAAATATCTCAACTTCCAGAAATATGATCACCAGATCAAAAATGCCAGGGTTCTTTTCAAGGTTAAGATTTCAACAGAGAAGAAAAAAAAAAAAAAAAAAAAAATATATATATAAATATATATATATACACATACACAAATTTATTATATACAAAGATAAGCAAAAGAATATAAACTTTAGTCACAATTGACAGTTTTGAAAATTCTTTAAATTATGGTGACCTTCTCCAAAAGACATGGCCACAAAGCCATGAATCAGAATTCTAGACAGTTTGCCCATAATAGCAATTTATATTGTAGAAAAGTTGGGTTTTGTGGGGGCTAATAAAGGAATGAAATGCTTTCATATCTAGGGAAAATCAATTAAAATATCCCTGAAGAGGGGCTGGGGCTATGGCTCAGTGATAGAGCACTCGCCTGACACACATGAGGCACTGGGTTCAATCCTCAGCACCACATAAAAATAAAATAATAAAATAAAGATATTATGTCCACCTAAAACTAAATATATATATACATACATTTTTTAAATTATCCCTGAAGGAAGGGATACTCTCAGGGGTATGTTTATCAGTAACAGTAATTTTAGACATAATCACTGAAAAATAGTTTAAGATTTCTGGGTAAAATTCTGGTTTTCTCATAATAAAAAAGGAAACTTTGTAGTTCAACATATGGTTTGGTGACAAATTAAAAGGGAGAAAGTAAGCTGAGGAGAAGGCAACAGAGTTTATGGAAGAGGCAAGAAAATATAGATAAGTCTCATCAAGAAAATAAATGAGTTGGTCTTTTCCAAGGCCAAGTGTTGGAAATATTTATCTATGTAAGTTCAAGCCTAAAACAACACAATTCACATACGTTTTATATTTAATAATATACAAGAAAAATACTTTTCATTTGTTGTAGAAAGGCTACTTTATATGAAAAGCAAGAAACATACTTACTCAATAAAAATCCCAAATGAAATCCAACTTAATATATAGAAATTATAGGGATGACCAAACAATTGATTAAAATTCAACTACATTTACTGTACTGTCTTGACATATTCTACTCCTTTTTAATCTGTACACAAGGCTCAAGTACTAGGGTTTCAGGTTTTATTTTTGATTTTTCTTAAAAATAATATCAACTCTCAAATTAACTAAATATTTATCTGGGCTCGTAATGGTAATCTGCTCTTTGTAACAGAGTTCTCTGTAGATTCTTCCACTTTAGACCTCTCCACTGGGTTAAAGCCTTTGTTTTCTTTGTCTTTTCCATGTGATTTTTTATGCTGTGGATTTAAGAGGAGAAATTAAGTCAATATAATATAATGGGTTTTTTTGTTTTTGTTTTTTGGTACTAGGAATTGAACTCAGGGGCACTCAACCACTGAGCCTCATCCCCAGCCCTATTTTGTATTTTATTTAGAGACAGGATCTCACTGAGTTGCTAAGCGCTTTGCCATTGCTGAGGCTGGCTTTGAACTCCCGATCCTCCTGTCTCAGCCTCCCGAGCTGCTGGGATTACAGATGTGTGCCACCACACCCGGCAATATAATGTTTTATACACATTAATTATATTTTAATTTCAAAGTTTTCTGGGTTGTAGGCATGACAGCTTAGGTATGGAAAAATTCAGAAAAAGTTCAACACAAATTTGAGCAAACTGTATTTCTGGCAAGTACAGGTGAGTGTCTTCTTTATATTCACCAATGGAAGGAATCAGATAAAAGAAATATTAGTTTTCTGCATTATTTTCTAAGACAAAATTGCAAATTATACTATACAATAGTGGTTCTCAACAGGGAGTGATTTTTCTACCCAATGGACATGTGGCAATGTCTGAAGACAGTTTGGGGCAGTTAACTAGGAAGTGGGTGCTACTGAATTGAGTAAAAGCCACAAATGCTACTAAACATCATACAATTATAACAAAATTTATCCAGTTTAAATATAAATATTGCTGCTGAGATATCCTGCTTAGGGAAACAAAGATTATTATTATTTATAAAAATCAATTCTATTTTTGACAGAGAAGCTAGTACATAGGCTATTTAAGAAACTGGTGTATCCAGAAACAAACCCATATACATAGCAGTTATCTCATACTAGACAAAGCCACCATAAACATATGTTAGAGAAAAGGTATCCTCTTCCAACAAATGAATGGATCTGGGAAAACTGGAAATCCATATGTAGCAAAATGAAATTAAACCTCTATCTCTCACCTTGCACAAAACTCAACTCAATGTAGATCGAGGACCTACGCATTTGACCAGAGAGACCCTGTGCCTCCTAGAAGAAAAAGTAGGCCCAAATATCTAGCATGTCAGCTTAGGAACTAAATTCTTCAACAAGACTCCTAGAGCATAAGAAGTAAAATCAAGAATCAATAAGATAGTATCAAACTAAAGAGCTTCTTCCCAGCAAAGGAAACAATCAAGAATGTGAAAAGAGAGCTCACAGAATGGAAGAAAATCTTTGCCACTTCAGATAGAGCATTATTCTCCAGGATACAGAGAGAACTCAAAAAACTTTACACCAAAAAAGCAAACAACCCAATCAGTAAATGGACAAAGGAACTGAACAGGCACTTCACCAAAGAAGAAGTATGAATGGTGAACAAATATATGAAAAACTATTCAACATCTCTGGCAATTAGAGAAAAGCAAATTAAAAGCACATTGAGATTCCAGCTCACTCTAGACAGAATGGCAATTATCAAGAATACAATAAATGTTGGCGAGGAAATAGGGAAAAGTTACACTCATACATTGCTGGTGGGGCTGCAAACTGGTGCAACAACTCTGGAAAAAAGTATGGAGATTCCTCAGATAACTTGGAGGAATCAACATTTGACCCATCTATCCCACTCCTCGGTTTATATCCAAAGGACTTCAAATCAACATGGTACAGTGACACAGCCACATCAATGTTTATAGCAGCTCAATTCACAATGTTTAATCTATTGAACCCACCAAGGTGCCCTTCAACAAATGAATGGAAAAAGAAAATATGGTGTACACACAATGGAATATTACTCAGCCATAAAAAGAATGAAATTATGGCATTTGCCAGTAAATGGATGAAACTGGGGACTATCATGCTAAGTGAAATAAGCCAATCCCCCCAAAATAAAGGCCAAATGTTCTCTGATATGTGGATGCTAACACACAATGGGGCAGGGTTAGAGGGTGGAGAATAGAAGTTCAGTGGATTAGACAAAGAGGAGTGAGGAAGGGAGGAAGGATGGGAATAGGAAAGACAGTAGAATGAACTGGACATAACTTTCCTACATTCATATATGAATACATAACTAGTGTAACTCCACATCATGTACAACCACAAGAATATAATCCTAATTAGAATAAGTTATATTCTATGTATGTATATGTGTAATACATCAAAATATACTATACTGTCATGTATATCTAAAAAGAACAAATAAAAAAAATTTAAAAACTAAAAGGTTGAAAAAACAAAAAAGAGAAACTTTGGTGTATCTTGTTTTAAAAAATTTATTTCACATTTCTTATTTGAGAGTTTTATTTCATTGGAATCCTCCTACTTGCCCATAAGGAATTGGTGATAATTGGGTGTATAATTATACCTATAATCCATATAAGTAAACCTATAATCCCAGCAACTTTGGAGGCTAAGGCAGGAGGATCACAAGCTTGAGGACAACCTTAGCAATTTAGTGAGATCCTGTCTCAAAATAAAAAGTAACAAGTACTGGGGATGTAGCTCAGTCATTAAGCACCATGGTTAAGCACCAATCCCCAGTACTACTACTAAAAAAAAAAAAAAAAAAAAAAAAAGATAGTGGTAACAATGATTGTGTACTCAGTCGTCAATGTTAAGACAAATCCTAAACTAACTTTCAAGTTTTAGACCCAGCACAGGGCTGGGGATGAGCTCAGTGGTAAAACACTTGCATAGGGCTGGGATTGTGGCTCAGCGGTAGAGTGCTCAACTAGCATGGGCGGGACCCAGGTTCGATCCTCAGCACCACATAAAAATAAAGGCATTGTGTTGTGTCCATCTACACCTACAAATAAATATTAAAAAACAAAACAAAACACTTGCATATATATCAGGCTGTGGGCTCAATCCCCAGCACAGCAAAAATAAAGCTCTCACCAAAAAAAAAAAAAAATTTTAGACCTAGAGAAATTCTCCATATCACTGTCTTTTAAATCCAGCAAACACCCCACATCAGACTGCTATTAGAGAAAAAAATCACCTCTAGATTTCACCTAAACATCTAAAACCAGACCCCAAAGCCTTCCAATACTGTAGGGACTTCCTTGCTGTAGCTAAGTCACTAAGTCTAACCTCTAAAATGCCACAAACAATAATAATTAAAGGATTTCTGACCGGGGATTAAGTGGTCACTAAGGTTCTATCTTTCCCCCTTTTCCTAACTTCATAAGAAAAAGAAAGGGATCAAAAACTGAAATATACTTACAGTTCTTAAAAAGCAAAAAAGTAAAGCAAAAAGTAGGAAGAATTTGGGGATGAAATTGCCCTGAGGTAGACAGAGAGGAATTTAAGGGCATCTGTGCTAGAATTTTTAACAGTTTAAATCAGGGATAGAGAAAGAATGTTTGGACCTTGAGGAAAAAAGACCTGCAAATCTATTAAAAACAGGTACCCGCAAATACCTATCAGAAGCAACTCTCTAACTGTAAACTGTAGATGTCAATGTCTTACATAAGGAAATTCTTATTTTGCCTATGCTCATATCTTCAAAATAGAAAGATGACAATTTATAGTGCCATGTTCCCAACAGTGGGGAGGATAAGGAGAGGTCATAGGATTTAACTGCATAAGATCAGGGCAGTTAAGGAGCTCAGGAAACTTTGAGGAATAGTTAATAAGAGAAGAGCTTCAGGCAGGATAAATCACTAATATAAGAGGACTTCACTCTAAAAATCGCTTAAGCCTTCAAAATTTAATGGTCAAATACAAGATCTAGGCCTTCCACGTCAAGATCTACAAGGTTTGGAAGAAGGAAGGCAGAAGGAAGAGAGAAATGACTCCTCTTAGTATCCATTCTGAGTATATAAGAAGGAGAAAGGGGATAAATGTAATAGCTAAAAATTACCAGCTAAGTATGTAGATTAAGTAAAAATTTGCCTTTATTTATCTAATAGAAAACCCTTTATCAATATCAGACTATATAAATAAGTTAAATCAGAAAAGTCAATAAGCCATCCCAAAGCAATGACTGAAAATTTGTTTGTTATGGTACACCAAGAGTAATGCCTTTACACTGAATAGTAAGTGACTGACTTGTGGGAGTTGTGGAAGGATTATCTGAAATTATATAATCAGATACCTGGAAAAACGGAACCCCACCACTTGAAGAACAATCCACACTGGTATCTACAGATGACTCTTGATTTAGAGGTTCTTCAATGTATTGCACCAGAACTGCCTTTTCTTCATCCATGTCCTAAAATAATAAGTCAGATGAGTGATTAAGTCCAACGCTTAAAATCATCATAAAAAAGGGTTAGATAGGGGCTGGGGTTGTGGCGTAGTGGCAGAGCACTTGCTTAGCATGTGTGAGGCACTGAGTTAAATCCTCAGCACCACATATAAATAAATTAAAAAATAAAGGTACATCAACAACTAAAAAATATTTTAAAAGTGGGGGGGAGGGGGGTGTAGATAAATGAGATGCAGGGCAGGTTTGAAGGGTAAATAATAACATTTTTCACATGAAATCAATCACGTCAAGATTAAGGGAGAATTCTAAAATTATGATACTTTAAATTTTACCTGATTATTTTCTTCTGTATTGTTTTCTGAACTCATCATCATTAACAGCTCAGGCTGATTCTTTTTCAGCTGATCAAGGAGCTGTTCACGTGGTTTGGTTCTTACTAATGTTGATGGGTATGAATAATTCTTTCTCTGTGGTGTTGTGCCTGTAGTGAACATTAGACAAGTGCGGAAAGTAGAAGTTTGAGATATAAATAATAATTTTTATTTTTTAAAATAAATTTTAAAAAAGTTTGGTGGTACTCGGGATTGAATCCAGGGGTGCTATACAATTAGCTACATCTTCACACCTTTTTATTATTTGGCTCTTGCTTTTCATTCAACATCTTAACAAAATTCCTAATTTCATTGATAAGTGAACAATAACCTTATAGGTCTTTAGCAGAAAAAATAAACTAACTTTTTTTTTTCTTTCAGAGATGGGGTCTCAGTATGTTGCCCTGAGTGGTCTCAAACTCATGGACTCAAGTGATCCTCCTTAACCTTCTGAGAAGCTGGGACTACAGGCATGTGCCACCATGTCCAGCAGCTAACCCAACATCCTTTAGCACAATCTTCTTTTATAGTTGCTTTTTAAAAATAAAAAAATTAAAAAAAAAAAAAGCTTTGAGGTATAATTCACATACCATAAAGTTCACTTACTTTAAATGTACAATTCAATGATTTTTGGTGAATTTACAGGGTGTGCAACTATCACCACAATCCAAAGAATAATCCAATTATTTGTCCTGCATAAAATCTTTTTCATGAAGGACTCTGAATCATTATGATCTACTGATCTTTGCCATATCTGATCTCTCAAATGGTAATAATTCCTATATGCTAACAGTCCACAACAAAATGAGAGGGACACATAACAAAATGCACAATGTGGTAAACTTTGCATTAAACTGGATTTAGTCAACAAATTCCTCCAATACTCTTGATATTCAAATATTATTTTATAGGGGTTGGGCATTTAGCTTAGTGGCAAGAGTTCTTGCCTAGGACACACCCTGGGTTAGGTCCTTGGTCCTGAAAAAAAAATGTCATTTTACAGAGTGCTAGATAGATGGCTGGTCAGTTTTATGATTTATTTTTAAAATGCCCTTTCTTAGATTAGTCAGTTCCTTGAATGTGAAATTTTACTAAATTATGATGTCTAAATTTTGTATATACCAGTTATATCATGACACCTAATACTTGATATTAAAACTATTTTGAGGTTCTAATTTTTCCATTATTAAATTGATTACAGTGAGATGAAAAATTCATATCAGGCAATTGATCAGCATCAGTTTTAAATAACATCTAACACTGTATAGCATTAAATTCAATTTCAAAAAATTAACAATTCTATTTCCTTTTTAAATTACCTGTCGGGATATCCAGTTTCAGATCCTGTTGCAGAAAGCAATTAAGCTTAGATAAGCCAATTTTTATACTTTCATTAAGCTCTAGACTTTGTACTATCAACTGCTTTTCATCAGTAGTTATCTGACCAAGAAAAATATTATGTTGGTTCTCATTAGCTTCTTTATGTCCACTTAATTTTTCAGTGATCTCTGAACTTGAAGTCTCACAACATTGGTTTACAACCTGTAATTGATACAAATAAGCTTTCATTACTAAAATTAAAGTTATCAAATGCTTTATTCAACATGTCATATCTCTTTACCTTGAAACTGTCCATTATAAAATTTAAAAACTTATACAAAAGTAAAGAGAACAAGATAATTAACCTCTTGTATTCATCACCCAGTCTCAACATTTATCAACACATGGGCACAGATAAAATAAGACTGACCTCCCAGTCCTCATCATAAGGATTATTTTGAAGCAAATTCCACATCATTTCATCCATTTACTTCAGCATATGTCTAAGAATTAAGAGCATTTTAAGACAACTATCCTATCTAAAAATTTAATATTTATTCCTATAGATCAAATGTCTAGAGTATTCAAATTTCACCAAATGTTTTCCCCAATTGGTTTCTATGAACCAGAATTCATCACTAGATACTGAATATATCTTAATTAAGTGACTATATAATTTTTATCCAAACTAGGACACTTTTCAAAGCAATAAGCCCTATTCCTAATAATTATTCCAACATAACAGATATAAGGAAGGATTGTCTCAAGCAAACTAAGACTTAAGATTCTTTTGATCTACAAGTTATCCTTCCTCATCTTTTTTCCTTTAAAACTATTGTTGAAAAAATCAGGTTTTTACCCTTTTGGATATCTCAAATTCTGGATTTGGTCTATTGCATTGCCATCCCATATATTCCTATGTTCATCTGTATTTTCTATAAACTGGTTAAATTTACAGGCTTGATCTAATTCAGGCCTATTTCACAGGTGGAACTTCAGGCATACAATGCCCTGGTTATATCTGTTAAGATTAATCAGTGGGGCCAGATGAGGTGGCGCACACCTGTAATCCCAGAGGCTTGGAAAGCTGAGGCAGGAGGATCACGAGTTCAAAGCCAGCCTCAGCAAAAGTGAGGCACTAAGCAACTCAGTGAGACCCTGTCTCCAAGTAAAATACAAAACAGGGCTGGGGATGTGGCTCAGTGGTCTAGTGCCCCTGAGTTCAATTCCTGGAACCAGACTCTTAAAATATATATATATATATATTAATCACTGGATTCAGAAGTAGTTACCCTATTAATTAGAAAGTTCCTCTTAATCTCTCCCCTAACTCTTGAACATCTGATAAAATGACTTAGCAATCATTAATGGCCACAGAGGTTATTTCATTGGGAGTTGCAAAGTGATGATATTCAAATTGTATCATTTTTCCTTCATTTTACTTGCTGAGATTCTATGAAATACTTTTCTTTATCAATTATCCTGTTAAACCAAGATATGGCTCTTTGAAAAAAAAAAAAATAGATGGATGTTGTTTCTCCTTATTTACCTGTTTTCAAAATAATGCATTGTTTCCCTATCATGATCCAAAAGAAACCCCTGAAATTTTAATGAATTAATTAGCTTTAATATAATTGATGTGTTTTTATCTATTGTAGTCATTATTCTTTTTTTTTTTTTTTTTTTGGTGGTGGTAGTGCTGGGGCTTGAACCCAGGTGCTTGTGCATGCAAGGCAAGCACTCTACTGAGCTATATCCCCAGCCCTCATAATTGTTTTTTTTTTTTTTCAATAGTTTTTTAGTTGTCGATGGACCTTTATTTTATTTATTTATTTATATGTGGTGCTGAGAATCCAACCCAGTGCCTCACACATGCTAGACAAGTGCTCCACTACTGAGCCACAACTCCAGCCCTAATTATTCTTATTGATGCTCCATTATACCATCTTAGAGCAGGGGAATGCTAACAGGTTGGCTATTAAGTTCTTTGGACACAACATCAGGATTCTTTCATAGCTTCCTTCTGGTATGACTTGTTGTCTAGGCTCATAACCCTGTATGTTTTTTGTCTGTTATTTCTCTATGAACCCTGTTTCTTCTCCTTATCCCAGGTTGTTTATATAACTTAAAATACTTAAATTCTTTGAGTCTACTTTCTGAGAACATAGTGAAATCCTTTTATTGAACAGAAAAGAAAAACAAATCATAAAGGGCTCAAGCAAGTGTTAAGTTCAAGCAAACCCACAAGCCTATCAAGTATCCTTTGAGCAACCAAACCAAATCCTAAATTCTTAAAACAACAATAGGCTTGAAAGTACCTGGAGAAAAGTAAATACAAATGGAAAGTATTAAATATTTAAAGACAGAGTGCCCTTCCCTAAAGAAATAAGTAAAAAAATCAAGGTTAGATATAAGACAGAAATTGGATATTACATTAGGCATGTAGAAGACACATACCAAAGCATAAAACAAGATCATGTATAAGCATACCAAGTATTTTACTTAAAAGTTTAAGTCGGGCTTGGGTTGTGGCTCAGCAGTAGAGCGCTCACCTAGCACGTTCGAGGCCCTGGGTTCAATCCTCAGCACCACACAAAAATAAATAAGTAAAATAAAGGTATTGTGTCCAACTACAATTGAAAAATAAATATTTTTTTAAAAAAGTTAAGTCATTATGTCTTAAAATATAATTTGTTTTGAAATCAGTTCTAAGCTAAGAATATTTAATTTTCTGATTATAACTATTCTCCCCAAAGTAGGTTCCAGGTACAAAATTATTACCTCCAACATGTTCTGGAGTTCCTCTTCCCTTTTATTTAAGCAAGATACCCACTGTTCAGAAAAACAAGCTGTGCTTGTGGTCAGAGACTTGCATCTCTGTTCAGTCTCTTGAAATATTTTTTCCAGGTTACTACTGAGTGTATCACAGTGTTTCACAGACTCTTCAACCAATTTTCTACCTTTTTGGTTAAAATGTCTGAGTTCTTGAGACAAGCCATCAGAATCAGTACCAAATTTTTTACTGTGAAAAGTTGTTTTGTTGATTATATCCTTAGATTTCCTAGAAAAAGAAAACATCATTGTTGAAATGGGAAACTAAGACTCAAAGGATATATACCTTCCCAAGATTATATACCTCTCAAGTGAGATTTGATGCAGGTAGTGTGGCTCCTGCTCTAAATGAATCTTCTAAATTCATTAAGAGCAGACTGACATCACCTCTACCATTAAATGACTTTTGAAAAAGTGGTCATTTCTCATAAAACCTTTCTCAGCCCTCTTCCAGATATGATGCTTCTGTTTGTAGTTCTCACAGTATTTATCTAGATAGTTACTAAAATGTCAAAAGCAGTTATGATTATTGTACATGAGTATCACCCAGATTTCCTAGGTAATTCTAGTGAGTATACATAGCATATATAAAATATAGGAAAATAATGACACAGGCACAGGAAGAAATGGGAATATACTATTATAAAGTCATTTTATTACACATGAAAGAAAAGATTATTTGATGATAGATTTAAGTTATTTTAAAACACTATATGAGATATGGTGGTTCATGCTTATAATCCTAGTGACTTAGGAAGCTGAAACAGGAGAACTGCTAGTTCAAGATCAGCCTTAGCAATTTAGTGAGACCCTCAGCAATTTAGAAAGATTCTATCTCAAAATTAAAAAAATAAAATAACAAGGACTGGGGATGTGGCTCAATGATAAAGTGTCCCTGGGTTCTATCCCCACTACCAAAACAAGAACAACCAAAAACCAAAACCCAAAAACAAACAAAAAAAACATATTTCAAATCCTGAAAAAGCCACTTTAAAAGGTAATAAAAAGTGTAAAGTCAATGTAAGAGAGAAAATGAAAACATAAAAATGTTCAATTTAAATTAGGAAAAAGAAAGGGGAAAAATGAAATAAAGAACAAATGATGCAAGAAATAGAAAACAGCAGATCTACAGATTTTAATATAATCATGTTAACTTTCATTTTAAATGCAAGTGGTCTAAATATATGATTAGAGCCACAAATTGGGGGCTCTGGCATGGTAGCACTTGCTTAGCATGTATGAGGCCTGGAGTTTGCTCCTCAGCACTATACAAAAGGAAAAAAAAGAAGTCCATATTGTTAAGTTTGACAAAAAAGAGCAGCTAGCTATATTTTGTCTATAAAAAACATATTTTAAATATAAATATTTAGGCCAAAAGTAAAGGGATGGAGAAAGATACATCATGAAAATAGCTACCAAAGGAAAGCTGAAGTACCTATATTAATTTCAGATAAAAAAGACCAGAACACGGAGGATTACCAGGGATAAAAAGGGATCGTTGCTGGGAATGGTAGCACATGTCTATAATCACAGCAATTGCGGCAAAAGGATCCTAAACTGCCAGGTGCTGTGGCACACACCTATCATCCCAGTTGCTTGGGAGGCTGAGGCAGTAGGATTGCAATTTCAAAGCCAGACTCAGCAAAATCAAGGTGCTAAGCAACTCAATGAGACCCTGTCTCTAAATAAAATACAAAATAGGGCTGGGAATGTGGCTCAGTGGTCAGGTTCCCCTGAGTTCAATCCCTGGTACAAAAAAAAAAAAAAAAATCCTAAATTCCAGGCCAGCCCCAGCAACTTATAAAGTCGATTATAAAATAAAAGTTACAAAATGGGTTATAAAAATGCAATAATAAATAAAATACCTTACTGATGAGTTCAACAGTAGTTTAGAAATTATAGAGGAAGACTCAGTGAACTTGAAGAGAGGTCAATAGAATTGATTGAATTTGAACAAGAAAGATGTATGTTTATCTATTTATCTGAATAAAAGATATAAAGCTTTCTCTTCAGGGGACATAATAAAAGAGCTAACATTGTGTCATCAAAAGTCACAGAAGGAAACTGGGTATGTAATCTCACAAGCCTGTAATCCCAGCGACTCAGGAGGCTGAGGCAGGAGGATAGAGAGTTCAAAGCCAGCCTCAGCAACAGCAAGGCACTAAGCAACTCAGTGAGACCCTATCTCTAAATAAAGTACAAAACAGAGCTAGAGATGTGGCTCAGAGGTCAAGTGCCCCTGAGTTCAATCTCCAGTACCAAAAAAAAAAAAAAAAAAAAAAGTCACAGAAGGAGAGGACAGAGTGTATGGGACTGGAAAATATTCAAAGAAATAAAAGATGAAAATTTCCACATTTGGTGAAAGGCACAGCCAACAGATTACAAAAGCTAAACAAATCCAATAGGGCACACTGAAATAAATACATTAAATAGACATGTAATTATATTTCTAAAAATTAAAGATGAAGAAAAAATTCTTAGAAGCAGCTGCAGATAATCTGCCAATAGGGGAACAATTACTTTAATAATGAAAATCTGATCTTATGGAGGCCAGAAGGAAATGGAAGAACATACTTCAAATACTGAAAAAAAGAACTCAATCCTGAATATTACATACAATAAAAATATCTTTCAGGAATGAAGGTGAAATCAAGACATTCTCAGACAAAGGAAAATAGAATCTGTGGCTTGTAAACCTGCCCTGCTCTTAAAGGAAGCTTGAGATTTCCATAAGGAAAAATTAAAAGGGTAAAAATATGGGTAAGTAGAATATCCTTCTCATGAGTTTAAAATATATATAGGAAAAAAATTGAAACTTGACAAATCTTATAAACTTTTAAATACATATGTATACATACTTTAAAATAGATCATGGACTTAATGACTTACTGTAAAATATTGAGATGGGAGTGGTTATAGCTCAATGGTAGAGCACTTGCCTAGCGTGTGTCAAGGGCTCTAGGTTTGATCTCTAATACCAAACATACATACACCAACCTAAATTTAATTTCAAGTAAAACATGAAATTCTAAAACTGTTAAAAGAAAACACAGGGGATACAGCTCAGTAGCAGGGCACTTGCCTATCATGGAGGTCCTGGGTTCAATATGGTAAGTATACAGGACTGACAAGCAATGAGGCTAGAAAACCCTAGTGCAGATATAAGCAAACTTTTTCTTAAAAAGCCAGACGGCAAGTATTTTAGGTTTATGGTGCAATGATTCTGATGACAACTACACTGCTGCAGTGCACAGGCAGTCAAAGACAACATGTAAACAAAGAGGTAAATTATAAACAAATTGTTTATGATTATAGGAATCCAGCCCATCAGCCATTGTTTACCTAACCATGTTCCAGTTAGTAAGCATATTTTTTTTTTATCAGTGATGTAGATTAGAAATTGTGAAATTACTCAACATGTATTTTAAGACTGAAAAATAAGAAAATATATTGGGCTGGGGTTGTGGCTCAGTGGTAGAGTGTGTGTCTAACGTGTGAGGCTATGGGTTCAATCTTCAGCACCACATAAAAATAAATAAATAAAATAAACGTGTTATTTAAAAAAAAAAATAAGAAAATATATTGTGAACAATAGCCAAATTTTTCACTGCCTGAAAAAGAAGCACAAATATGGATAGAAAGTTATTTATGTGTTTATACACTTAAGTTATACCCACATACATACTAACTTGTTAACAAATGAGAAATTTACTTGAAAATATATAAGAACTATATGCACTATTTGAAACTCTTTTTTTCTTAAATAATTCAGAAGACTTATAGAAAGTTGAAAAGAATTTAAAAATAGCTTACTGCTCTGTATTTTCTTGGACATTCTTGAGTGGTTTCTGGATGTTTTTACACTTTTCCTCCAAAGCACAGAATCTCTCTGCCCAAAGATTGATTAACTGGCAAAGCTCCTATAAGAAGATGGGAGAAAGGGAAAAGACTTGTAATTATGACAGTTGAACACTTTTTTCTGCATATGACTGATGGATGACATGAAGTCTTCTTCTGTAGGTGAGAATAATATAAATTCTTGAGAAGCTCTTTAACTTCACTTCTCTCCCATAGAGGAAAGAAGTGAAAGTGATACAAAAAGGATAGTATTTATAGATATTTTTTAAAAAGTAAATAATTATAATTGCAAACTTTGCTGTTTTAATTGTTAGTAACAAATTACTTTCATTATACTTCAAAACACATCCAGATATCACATTATGTTTGAGAACCATTGTGACAGGTACATAGTTACTTTCTAACTGATGATAACACTAGAAAGGGAAATTGATGATAACTTAATGGGTCAAGCAATCCAAAAATATTAATTACTGGAACTAAAAAAATTTATAGGATCTAGCTGAGTTTTATTAATAAAATATAATTAGATTCTTATATCTTTACTTATACATAATATCTTTAAAAACAAGTTCTTATAGGCACATAACATGCCACATTGCAAAATGAAGAAGCTACACTAAAGATTACAAGGAAGAGTTGGAAACATATCCAGGACTTATATTTACTGTTCATTCCACTTAATATCTCTTAATATATACCTAACATTCTGATTGTGAAAAAGTCTGTTAGTAATTCTACTAGTCCAAAAGTAGAGGGTAATACAGGTATTATCAGATTTATCTACAATATGTGTTCAAAGTTTACACAATTGTTTCATTAGTGTTCACTTTAAATTCTAGAAAACCCAAGGAATAGTTCACTTAGTAAATTTGCTTCTTTAAAGCCAGGGAAATCAAAGCATTCATGTAAGATATATTTTGGATCAAGTTTCCTATTTGGCTACCAATTTTAAGCATTACAAAACAGCTAATTTATTAAAAAATGATCAGCCTTAGAATATGACATATATATAAAACAAATTTTGTTGCAAGTTTAAAAGCAGCTTAAAGACAGATCGATAGAATTTACCAAATCTCAACAACAAATATATATACATATATATAAAAGAAAGAGAAAGATCTATACAACTCTTCCCTCAGGAATTACATACAATAAAAGATCTATATATGTATAGGTATCTACAAAGTTATAAATAGATTTAAGGCAGATACCCTACATAGAGGTATAAGAAATTACTGCAATTTCAAATTGCCAAGAAATGTATAGAAGAGGCACTCACAAATGAATGCCTTTTAGGCATGTGTAATATGTAAAATGAAATATTGTTTGAGCTCCCAAGGTCTCAGTGTCTTCATTAGAAAACTGGGCAAGTCATAGGATCTGTATCTGTATTGATGGGAGGAATAAACAGAATAAACAAGTGTTAACTATAATTTTTACTAATTTCTGATGTTAATCCTCCCTGAAAAGTTTCATGCTTATCTATTTCAAAAACTAATATTCTATTTTAAAGTTGTTGTATTTCATACCTAAAAACCTTGATGTGTTTCCCTCTCTCGTTTTGATTGACATAGATATGAATTCCTCCCCACCTCCAAAGAAAAAGAACTTTTTTTTGCTCACTAAATCATGTCAACAGTTTTCAGTTTTATTGACCACAGTGCTGTCATTTCATGATAGGCTAATTTAATAAAACTTAAGATTTTCATTATTACTCAAATCTTTTTTTTTTTTTTAGAATTTTAATATTTATTTTTTAGTTTTCGGTGGACACAACACCTTTGTTTGAATGTGGTGCTGAGGATCGAACCCAGGCCACACGCATGCCAGGCGAGCGGGCTACCACTTGAGCTATATCCCCAGCCCCATTTCTCAAATCTTAATCATAATAGAAGTTTTTTTCCACATATCTGGTAATAGAGATTATGGTTTGAAGGTTTGGCTTTAGTTTAAAGCTGCACATATTGAAGAATAGTTTACCTGGAAGAAAAGTCATGAATTATATTTATAATCAATCATTAAAAATTAAAAATTGTATTAATTTACTAGAATTTAAATATCTGTCACCAATGAGACAGAAGTAATAAAGAGAGCAGGTGCAGTGGCGCACACCTGTAATCCCAGCAGTTGGGGAGGCTGAGATAAGAGGATTGCAAACTCAAAGCCAGCCTCAGCAACTCAGCGAGACCCTGTCTCAATATGAAAAATATAAAAGACTGGGGATGTGAGTCAGTGACTAACTGTCCTTGGGTTCAATCCCCAGTACAAAAAAGGAGAAAAAAAAAAAGACATAATGAAGAGAAAGTAGGGCTTAGTTTATGAAAGATACTACTACCCATGTCATTCTAGAAAAAAGAACTTGCAACATCATGTTCAGTTTAACTGTTATAATCATTTTTCTCTAAAGATTTTTTTTTTCTTTTTTTGCTAATCTTTCATCTTGGTGTAAAGAAAGGCTATTGTGTCATAATGTGCTTCAGCATAGGGTTCTACATGTAGCAAATTCTCAAATGTTAACTGATTAAGAGAAGTATTTTCAAATATTTGACATTAATTATTGTTATAAGGAACAATGGCTATGGAACTTACAAGCATCCTGCCTCAGCCTCCCCAGTCACTAGGATTACAGATGTGCTCCACTGCACCTGACTTTGCTTTGATTTTGGATTCTCTGTTTTGGTTACTAAAATATACTACATTCCACTGGGACAGGTTTTCTAAATTGGTTTTAACAGCATTCAGATTGTGTAACAGATCATTAAACCATATCAAACCATCACAAAACTTTCGTTTTACATTCTCATATCAATTAAAGATGATACCTGTGAGGGCTGGGGCTGTGGCTCAGTAGTAGAGTGCTTGATCTAGCACGTGTGCACTGGGTTCAATCCTCAGCACCACATATAAATAAATAAAAAATAAAGGTACATCAACAACTAAAAGATGTTTTGAAACTATTTATTTTTTAGTTGTAGTTGGAAACAATACCTTTATTTATTTTTATGTGGTGCTGAGGATAGAACCCAAGGCCCCATACATGCTAGGTGAGCACTCTACTGCTGAGCCACAACTCCAGCCTCAACAACTAAAAAAATTTAAAAAAACAAAAAAGAAGAAGATACCTGTGAATGGGTTTGTTTTATGGTATTCAGGTCTTCACTTAAGTTTTCACAAAGTGTCTGTGATTCAACCAAGGAGGAAATTGTATTTTCTTGTAGTTCATGTAGATTGTTACACAATGTACTGAGAAAGCCATCCATTTCTTTTTTCTGATCTTCTATCTTTGAAGGAAAAAAAAAACACATTAGTTTCTTTCTTAAATAGCACATAAATTTTGACATATAAAAAACATAAACAGGGGCTGGGGTTGTGGCCCAGTGGTAGAGCGCTTGCCTAGCACTTGCAAGGCGCTGGGTTCTATCCTCAGCACCACATAAAAATAAATAAATAAAGTAAATAAAGGTATTTACAAATTTTTTTTTAAAAAAGAACATAACATTTGTTACCTTATCAGCCACTGTCAATGAAGTCTTGAAACTATGCTTCAGTTGACTATTGATCTCCAATATATGCACCACAGCAGGTTTTAAAATTATCTCCAGTGAACTTAGAAGGCCAGTTGAAAATTCATTCTGGTTTTAAAAATAAGCAAACAGGTCTTTATAAAGAGTATTTTACTTCCATAAACCTGGCTGGTTACATAATAATATCTTAAAATCTTCAGCAACTAAACATGAACATTAAAATTCTAAACTGACATTCTCTATTTTTTATAATCTACTAAGATATCTGATCTTATATCTAAAATTAATATTCAGCATAAGTCACTTAGTCCTACATCTAGTAATTAAGAAAATGGTCAGTTGGTGCATAATATATTCTTTTTATTTTATTTTATTTTTTTAGTTGTAGATGGATAGCAAACCTTTTATTTATTTTTATGCAGTGCTAATGGATAGAACCCAGTGCTTCACACATGCTACTAGGCAAGTACTCTACCACTGAGCCATAATTCCAGCCCACACAGTATATTCCTAACAGTCTAATGAAACAAGTCAAAATTCAGAAGAGAGGAAATGAGTCAATTGATAAGATTTCACCATTCCAAAGGAAATTAAAAAACAAAACAAAACCTCAAAACCCACAGGTATATTTTTTGAAAATAAATTTCAACTAAGTTTAGGTTACCAGTCAGAAAGATTGAATACAAATATTTACCAAGAGTAGGCTTTGGGCTAGAGGTGTTTGACTCTGAAGGTCTGATGACTAAGAGCCTAATCTATCAGAAGAACTTGTGAAGTTCTTGTTCTTATCAAGTTATATGGAAAATTAACAATGTAGTAAAGATTAAAAAGTTCTATAAAAAGAGAAAAAAAGCTGGGCACTATGGAGCATGCCTGTAATCCCAGCAGTTTGGGAGGTTGAGGTAGTAGAATCCCAATTTCAAAGCCAGTCTCAGCAACTTAGTGAGGCCCTAAGCAATTTAGCGAAACCCTGTCTCAAAATAAAAAATAAACAAAAAGGGCTGGGGTTGTGGCTCAGTGGTAGAGCGCTTGCCTAGCATGCATGAGGCACTGGGTTCGACTCTCAGCACCAAATACAAATAAATAAAATAAAGGTCCATAAACAACTTTAAAAATTTTTTTTAAAAGGGCTGGGAATGTGGCTAAGTGGTTAAGCACTCCTGAGTTCAACCCCTAGTATCAAAAAATTAAAACATAAATTCTGATCTAAACCTCTTTTCACTAAGGAAGGGGAAACAAAAACAGAAATAAATTAGTAAGTACTTAAACTTGGGGAAAAAAATAAATAAATAAATTAGTAAGTACTTAAAAGAATACTGGTTTTCTTTGGAAAACTAATTCCAACTAATTCTGTGGGAGCAATAGTCATCTCTTCTTTTGAATTAGGCAATGTTTTCACCTTGTTATGCAGGAAAACATTCATAAATAAAGACTACCATTTAGTGAATAAATCAATTTCTGAAACATTAGTAAAGACAAAATATGTTTAACTTTGTCAATTTCAATGAAGGTCAGCTAACATTTGTAATATTTATTTGGAAAATACTGAATAAATATTGTTAACTTCAAAAAGGGAGGCAGAGAGCCTGCATAGGAAAAAAAAATAGAATATGGTCAAGAACTTCCTAGCAATCCATATAATTACAGTATAAAAAATATAAATCAGGTATGAAAGAGGTAATATTAAGTATAATTACATGAGTGATTTCTATAGAATCATGGGGAAAAGCTTTAGAATCAAAGCTTTGGGGTTGGGGTTGGGGTTGAGCGGTAGAGCACTCACCTAGCATGTGCGAGGTTTGATCCTCAGCACCACATAGAAAAAAAATAAATTAAATAAAGATATTGTGCCCAACCACAACTAAAAAATAAATATTAAAAAAAAAAAAAGAAAGAAAGAAAGAAAGGCTTGGTCACACAGATCTAAACCTGGATATTGTTGTATGTGCTCCTAGAATTCTTTTTTTTTTTTTTGGCAATGGGGATTGAACCCAGGACCACTTAACCATATAAGCCACATCGCCAGCCCTTTTTTATATTTTATTTAGAGACAAGGTCTCACTGGAGTTACTTAGGCCCTCACTAAATTGCTGAGGCTGACTTTGAACTCACCATCCTCCTGCCTCTGCCTCCCAAGCCACTGGGATTCTAAGCGTGCACCACCATGCCTGGTTGTGCTCCTAGAATTCTATTTACTATTTTTCTTAAATTACTATTACTAGTACATATGACTATTACTATCACACATTACTATTATTATCATACACTATTATAGTTTAAAAATTATCCAATATCCCCTTTCTGGTTGAAAGTTAGTTTAACATGATTATGCCAAGGACCCTTGAAATGAGGAGGGCGTGCCAATTTCTATGCCAACTAACAAGTCATGAGTCTCTTTGATTCATTTGGAGTTAAAGCTGCCCTTTACTTATTAGAAAGCTTATTGATAACTCCTATTCTTAACCATACCAGATACAAGTGAAAAAAGTGTCAGAACTTAATTACATACATTTGGAAACCAATCTTTCGGGGGGTGGGGGGGAATACAATGGAAGCTGGCATGGTGGCATATGCCTATAATTCCAGTGAATCAGGAGTCTGAGACAGAAGGATTTCAAGTTCGAGGCCAACCTCAGCAATTTAGCAAGGCCCTAAACAACCTAGTGAGACCTTGTCTCAAAATTTTTTAAAAAAGTGTGGGTTGGGGGGCGGGGGGTACAGTGGCAATGTAGCTCAGTGATAAAGCATCCCTGGGTTCAATCCCCAGTACCGAGAAAAAAACAAAACAATGGAAAGACTTGTCTCTAAAACTGTAAATATACTCTTTCAAAGAGATGTATATCATTGTGTCTAGCAAAGCTTAAGATAAAAGAAGAGTAATTAACATTGTTTTTTGATGACTTATCAAATAAAGCCCTTCAAAAATAGTTAAAGATATTTACTAACAATAAATTTCTGTAGTACAGTTTTAGTTTCTGCTGCTAATGATTGTTCTTCTAATATCATATTAGAAATTTGAGAAATATGAGTCGACACATTTTCTGGAACAGATGTGAGAGATCCAAGTGCTACTGTAGTAATAGTGTCTAATGCAGAGACACTAGAAGACATCAGATTTCCTATAACAATGACAAAAAAAAGAAAGAAATATGTAAATTTTGACATAAACAAACATATTTAAATACAGATAGACCCACTTCAAAAAGGTAGGCAAAATTATATCCTTGTTGTGGAATTTGTAATAATACAAAAGCTTAAAAGAAATGGCTCCCTACTGAAGGAAGAAAAGATTTTAAATACATCTTATATATGTCCTATAGTGTTCTATAAGCCCTTGACATATTTACAAGTATATCAAACTTAACTATAACAGTAAACCAAAAATTAGAATATACTAAAATTAATCTCTAAAATATAGAAGGGAAATGAACTAGAAATCAATACAAAAATTTATAGTGATTGGCTGAATGTGACTAGAATCTAGATGATTTAAAAATTTTTACATTTCTGGACCTTCTAAATTTTCTGAGTATATTTTAATAAAAAGTAAACTAATACTTTTAAGCGTGTTCTTTCTAAAAGGAGAGAGCAATGGAACAGTTAAAAATAATGACACACATACATATTCTGAGAGTAAAGCAAACTTTTAAGATATATATTCCCAAAAGGGGAAAAAAAAATAAGAGTTGCAAAATGTTTGTTCAGAGGAAATTTCTATAATAAGAGCTCAATAAATTTAAGAGTACTAAATCCCCAGGGTCAAGAAAAAAGGGAACTTTAACTTCTAAATTTATTTGATTATTTAATAAACATATATAGAAAACAGGAGGAAATTACCCTCTAAGGTTTGTTTTGTTTAACTCAAAAAAGCATTAATCTTGGGACTGGGGTTGTAGCTCTATGGTAGAGCACTTGCCTTGCATGTGTGAGGCACTGGGTTTGTTCCTCAGCACCACATAAAAATAAATAAAAGTATTGTGTCTATGTACAACAACAACAACAACAAAAAATTTTTTTTAAAAAGCATTAATCTCATTTTTACCCCATATACAGATTGCACAATCACATCAGTTACACATCCATAACCCACTTGAATCAAAGTGTGAAATATGATATATCAAGAACTATGTAATGTTTTGAACAACCAACATTAAAAAAAAAAAAAAAGCATTAATCTCCACTCTAAATAAATAGTGTATGCCTTGGGGAGGGTACTAGTGATACTGTCACCTGATTATTTTCCTGTATTAAATTATTAGTTTTGAAATTCGCCTCACATGGAACACATAAAGTCTAGAATAATTAGAAATACTGAAACTTACCAAACAAAGTCTTGTGAACTTCTAGCATGGCCTTTTGTTTTGAGCTGCCATCCTTAATTAATTCCTCCATATCATTAAATAGACTATTCAAGTTTTTGCCAAAAATATCCTGAGCTTCTGCATTATGTTGGTCAATTGCCTTCTTACGATCCAGTTTGGAATGGAGACCAGATACATCTGTTGTTGTTTCTTTAACTGTGTTGAGCAACTATATAAAATTTTAAAAATAATAATAAATATTGAGTAACAACAAATCTGACCATTATGTACCAATAAAAAAACATGGAAAATGTTAAGATAAAAGCAATCTAATGAAAATATGTATGCTACGTAAGAATTTCTCTGTAAGAACTGGTAAATTTTAGACATCAAAAGAAATGCTTATATGGTAATTTATCCAAATCTCTAGTAATGCTTATTTCTCCTCAGCTATCTATACAAGGAAATTGACTTTGCAAATTTATTGCAATAATCATATCCCCTCACATTTTTTTCTATTATGTTTTACTATCTCCTCAAAGTACACCTAATTAAAAAATGCAATACTTTCATCATCTTCCATCATTAGAAGACAGCAAAATCTTAATGACTATTTAGTTTGTCTTCATCACAAAGCAAAAGCATCCCATCATATTATAAGTGTCTACAAAATATAAAGTCATGCTCCATTTTAACTTTTGACTTGAGTCAGCATCTAATGTGAGAAAAATATAGATAAAATAGTACAACAATATTTTTTAAATTGACACAAATGTCATTTATGTTGAATAAACAGAATCTCATAGTTAATATGTAAGCATAGAAAGTTACTTCTACCATTCTCTAATTTCTTTAATACAAGTACAAATCAAAACAAAGGACAAACCTTGCTGGCAGTATCATGAAGTTTCTCTTCAGTACTTTCCAAAGCTGATGAGATATATTCTTCTTTAACAAGTTGTAATTTAGTTTCTTGCAAATGTTTTTGAGTGGTTTCAAGTTCCTGTGTCTTATTTTGCAGGTCAGATTTACATTGGTCAAGTTCATTTTTATTATCCATAAATAACTCTGTAACCTAAATATAATACATTAAACATTCAAGAATTTTAAAAATGCTGGGGCTAGCTGGGCATTGTGGTATGCACCTGTAATCCCAGCAATTTGGAAGGCTGAGACAGGAGGATCACAAGTTCAAGACCAGTCTCAGCTGGATGAGGTGGCTCACGCCTGTAATCCCATTGGCTCAGGAGGCTAAGATAGGAGAATCCCAAGTTCAAAGCCAATCTCAGCAACAACGAGGCACTAAGCAACTCAGTGAGACCTTGTCTCTAAATAAAATACAAAACAGGGCTGGGGATGTGGCTCAGTGGTCAAGTGCCCCTGAGTTCAACCCTGGTACCAAAAAAAAGACCAATCTCAGCAATTTAGCAAGGCCATAACTCAGTGAGACTCTGTGTCAAAAATAACAAGGCCTGGGGACATAGATCCAGTAGTAAAGCATCCCTGGATTCAATCACCAAAAACAAAATACTAAGGCTGGTGAGAGAGCTCAGTGGTAGAGTTTCTTGCTTTACATGTGAGCCCTGGGTTTGATCCCTAGCACCACAGCACCACCAAAAAAAAAAAAAAAAAAAAAAGCAAAGTTGAACTCATTGGTTAGTTACCTGGTTAGTTCAGGAGAACAAAACAAATTATTCCTAGATAAAAGTTATAACAAATTACCAGGCAGGTTAGCACATTTTATATGGCATCTGGTTTCTTCCTGTAAGTTTACTCAAAACTTTAGAGATTAAATAACAGATCTATGCAGTGGTGTTAATTCTTTAGTTTTCTTCCAACACTGTCAGTGGATCTGTGTTATAAAGGTGTTAATGTGAGGACGTATGGCAGAGTCAGGTCTCCCCCCTAATATAATAATTTTATTTAACACCCAATCTTTCCCAATCTCTGTATTCCTTCATCTGATAAACATGTTAACAAAAACTCCTCAGCATTAACTTTACAACTTTAACAACTCTCAAAGTTCAGTTATTCATCTGCTGCATAATGATGTTTCAGTCAACAACAGACTGTGTGTGATAGTCCTATAAGATTATAACAAGCCGGGGACTAGCAGTATAGCTAAGTAGTAGAATGTTTGCCTAGCAGGCATAAGACCTTAGATTCAATCCCCAGTACTGATGAGAGAGAAAAGATTATAATGGAACTGAAAATTTTCTATCACCTAGTGAAGCCAGAGCTGTCATAATGTTATTACTCATGTGTTTGTGATGATACTAGTATAAACAAACTCACTGTGCTGCCAGTCATATTAAAAAACAACACAATCGTGTATAACCCATAATAAATGATGATAATAAATGACTATGTTTCTGGTTTATGTACTTACTGTACTATATACTCTATCTAGAGTGTACTCCTAGTTAATAGTAAAACAGCCGTAGGTAGGTGCTTAGGCACCTCACTTTAGAAGGTCAAGGCATTATAATCAAAGGAGATGACAGCTCACTGTGTGTTTATTGCCCCTTTACTGACCACTTTCCAGGGAACCAAGATGTGGAGGTAGAAGAAAATGATATTCATGATTCTCACCCTTTATAGGCCTAGGCTAATGTGTATGTTTGTCCTAACTTTTAACAAAAAAATTTGAAAAGTAAAAGAATAAATATATTTAAAAAATTGGCTATACTGTATATTCTAGATGTATAGGCTTGTATATGATGTTTATGCAACAATGAAATCACCTAATCTAATAATGCATTTCTCAGAAAATATCCCAGTCATTAAACAACACCTGGCTAAATTTTTGTAGCTTTTTCATTAAAATTAATAATAGTAAAATTATGATATAATTTACTTTCAGCATAAGAGCCAGAAAAAAAAATCCTTAAAAGAGAAAAATGGGGGGCTGGGGATGTGGCTCAAGTGGTAGTGCACTTGCCTGGATGCGTGGGTGCTGGGTTCAATCCTCAACACCACATAAAAATAAAAAATAAAGATATTGTGTCCACCTAAAAAAAAAAAAAAAAAAACACCTAAAAATTAAAAAAAAAAAAAGAAAAATGGGTCCTTCCCATTCTAAAGTTTTATTTTAATATTTGCTTTTCAAGTAACATTTAATGTTTCGAATGCTTACCCTATTTAGTTCCTCCTCAACAGCACCAATTTTTTCAATCAATTCTACAATCTGTTCTTCTTGAACAGTTAATTTTCCATTCATGGCTCTAAAATAAAGTTTAATGAGTTTAACAGTTAATATTTTTTTCCAATCCTACAAAATATTAGAATATAACATAATGATGACAGTTACACAAACTCATCTCCACCACTTAGCACCATCATGAAATAATACCTAAGTTTTGATAAGCAATAAACATAAATTGCAAAAAACAAATGTTTTCTCAGTCTTTGTTTTATAAATGAAACATTTTTCTTTTGACTCAAATTCTGAAACTGAAACCAACATATAAGGGTAAAGCATGTGTGTGTGTGTGCATCAAATTTGAGAAGCCAGAAAGCTAAAAGAGGGCTGTAACTCACTTACAGTAGAGACAGGAGGGATACAACCTAAGAGTCTATAATTAGGGATATGGAATATAAAGATGCCTTCCCAGAATGCTGGAAAGACTTGATACTTGAAAACATCTGATATCATGAGAGGATAAGGGAGAACTAAAGCAGCAGGCATAATAATATCATCTCCTAGCCACTGTATGTTATGCCCACCCCAAGAAACAAATATCATCATCACATCAGCACATAAACCCTCATGAGATAAAAAGATTATACTCTAGGGCAGCATTTTTCAGCCTCAACACTACTGACATTTTGTGCCAATAATTCTTTGGTATGGAAATATCCTGTGCATTTTAGGATGTTGAGTAGCATCCACTGGTTGCCAGTAGTGCTCCGCATCCCTACCAGTGATAACCATCAGAAATATACTAGCCAGGCATGATGATGCATGCTTGTATTCCCAGCAACTCAGGAGGCTTAAACAGGAGAAACCTGAGTTCCAGGCCAGCTTCAGTAATTTAGTGAGGCTGTAAGCAACTTAGTGAGACTCTATCTCAAAAAAATAAAATAAAATAAAATTAGAAAAAAAGAAAGAAAAGAGAAAGAGGTCTGTGGATGTAGATCAGTGGTAAAGGCGCCTGGGTTCAATTCTTAGTACAAAAAAAATAAAAGATATTATTTAATATCCTCTAGAGGGCATCATCCCCCCTTCCTTGAGAGCCATTTGTCTACCTCACTACCTGAACTTCCAGTGTCACTTTCATTAAACCCAAATGGGAGTGGAAATAAGGCTTAGGGTCTGGAGACTGGCATTTAAATGAAAATTCACATACTAAATAATGGGCTAATTTTATAAGTGATGTTACTTAGCCAGTTTTGGACATAAGAAAAGGACAGTTTCTCATCTGCACTGGACATAATGAGAAATCACAGAACAACTATGTGGCTGACCATTGTTCATGATGAAAAGCCAGCCCTATGAGAAAGCCACCAATCGAGAAAGCAATGTGAGGAGACAGAAACTGGACCCTACAGCCCAGATCAAACAAGTTCACTGGGTTTTTCATACTTATGAGCCAATTAAATCCCCTTGTTATTTTTAAGACAGTTTAAGTTGGAGTTTCTACCAGGCAAGGGAATTCTGATATCAAACTTAAAATATAAACAATTTTTACTGAATAAAAATCAAAGTATAAAAAACATAAAAGTGGTAGATATAGGGACATCTGTAAAATGAAACAATTAAAAAACATAATAAAACACTAAAAAAGAAAAAAAATGAAATGTTTACTATGATGAAGTATATATGAACACTACAGAGAAACAGAAAAAAATAATAAAATATAAAGTTTTAAGAAGTTAAGTACAGACAATAGAGTTTTATTTAGCCATAAAGAAGAATAAAATTTTCAGGAAAATGGATGGAACTTGAGAATATTTTGTCAAGCTAAATAAGAAAGTCAAAAGTCAAGGGTCATGGGGCTGGGGTTGTGGCAAAGCACTTGCCTCACACATGTGAGGCACTGGGTTCAATCCTCAGAACCACATAAAAATAAATAAACAAAATAAAGGTATTAAAAAAAAAAAGTCAAGGATCATATGTTTTCTCTCATATGAGGAAGACAGAGAAGAAAAAAAGAAAAAGAACAGGGATGGGGCGGGGATCTCATGAAAACAGAAGGGATACCAGTAAAGTAGAAGACCAGGGCAAGGGAGGAGGAAAGGGAAAGAAAAGGTACTGTGGAATGAAGTTGACCAACATTACCTTGTTCTGTTGTGTATATTTATGAATATGTAACAATAAATCCCAGTACTGTGTATAATTATAATGCATCACAAAAGAAAAAGGAAACTCCCTCTTTCCTCTCCCACAAAAAAACCAACAAAAGAAAGAATTAAGTGCAAGGGCTGGGGATGTAGCTCAGTGGTAGAGTGCATGCCTACCACAGGAAACCCTGAGTTTGATTCCCAGGAATCTCTTGACCTGATTTCATTTTTCCCATCGAGTATCACACATGTATAAAATTGCATAGAACTATATACACACATCCTACCAATGTCAATTTCCTGGTTTGCTATTAAGCCATAGTAAGGTAAGAGGTAATAATTGGGGAAAACTGGAAGCATAATACATTGGGACCTCTCTGTACTCTTCTTGTACTTTCATGTAAATCAATAATTACTTAAAATAAAAAGTTAGCTTGGCGCAATAAAAAATCAGCTTGCACACAGATAATCCCAGCTACTTGGGAGATTGAGGTAGGAGGATCACAAGTTCAAGGACAAAATTAAAAATAAAAAAGGCTAAGGATTACAGTTCAGTGGTAAGAGTGTCTCTGGGTTCAACCCCTATTACTGCAAAAAGAAAATAAATAAGTAAATAAAAAGTCAGATAAAAGATTTTCTAAAAACTCTTTGATAACTACCTTTAAATGTTAAAATCAAAAGAAGCATTTATAAACATTAGATATACTTTACTAATTGCTATATAGATAAATTTTATTTCAAACAGCCTGTTATCAGCAAATGCTAATTCTTGGAAATTAACTCCATAGCAAGGGTTTACCTAAAATTTTCTTCAGAAATGTACACTCCATTTTTCTCACGAGCTGCAGCAAGATCTCGTTTCAGACGCTCTATCTCTTCTGTATATTCCTGCACAAGAGGAAGGTTGTAGGTGTCAATTTAGTATTTTTTTTTCCCCATTCAGTTTGCGGAACACATACAACAAATAAAATATGGTTGAATTTTTATGTTTGTCTTTTTTAAAAATTACCACTATATATATTTTTTTTTTAATATTTATTTTTTAGTTTTCGGCGGACACAACATCTTTGTTTGTATGTGGTGCTGAGGATCGAACCCAGGCTACACGCATGCCAGGCGAGTGCGCTACCACTTGAGCCACATCCCCAGCCCACCACTATATTTTTAATCAATATTAATTGGTTTAGAAATAGTCTTTCAATGGTCTTTAAAGTTACTTTTAATGTACTCATTATACACTTCCATTTAAACTGTCCACCCAATTTCAAGAATCATTATATAGCTCCAACAATTAAAGCTGGGTAATACTGGTAGAAGGACAGATGAATAAATCAAACCTCAAATATATGCAAACCTTTGTATGCAAAAATTAGTATTTAGAATATATTACAAACTCTCAAACCACAACAATAAAGAATAAATAATCCAATTAGAAAATTGGCCTAAAGATATGAACAGACATTTCACCAAGCAAGATATACAAATATCAGATAAGCAGATGAAAAGATGTTCAACATTGTTGGCCATTAGAGAAATATAAGTTAAAACCATAGTGAGATATCTAACACCATCACACATATCAAATTAGCTAAAACAAAAAATAATTATAACATCAAATGCTGGTGAGGATGTGGAGAAATTATATGACACATGTTGCTCATGGAAATGTAAAATGGTACAGCACCTAAAATACGGTTTGGGAGGGCTGGAGTTGTGGCTCAGTGGTAGAGCGATTGCCGGGCATGTGTGAGGCCCTAGGTTCAACCCTCAGCACCACATATAAATAAATAAAAGATCCACTGACAACTAAAAAATATTTAAAAAAAAAAAAAAAAAAGTGTGGCAGTTCCTTAACCCACTTTGTCCCATCATTCCAGATATGGAACATCTATAAATCTGAAATAGAATATATAATATATAATAAGAAGAATATAATTATAATATTTATAATAATATTAATAATCTTATACATAAGCTCTAGACTATGATTTCCAACCATTTTAATGTACCTATGTCAGTTTCTCTGAAATATTGGCAGAATTGAAAACTTGGCGACTTAATGGGTTGAAAAAATGAAACTTTCAAGTTGTCATTCAACCCAGCAAACATATTCAAATAATAACCCCAAAGAAATAAAAATTTGTTTATACAAATCACTATAAATGGATGCTAATAGTTTTATTTGTAATAGCAAAATTTAAAGTCATGTTTCAATTACACAAACTATATCAAGTACATAAGTAACATGGAATATAACAACACTAAAAAGGCTTACTGATACAAACAACAACGTGGTAAATCCCCAATATTTATTTAAAGTAAAAAAATAAATTAAATTAAATTAAATAACAAAAATTTATATATTGTACAATTCCATTCAATAACTTTTAAAATGACAAAATTTTATAAATAGAGGCGAGATTAGTGGGTAACAGCAATTAGGGATGGGAGGTAAGGGGTAAAAAAGAGGTAGTCATATGAGGGATCCTTGTGGTGATAAGCTGTTAATATCTTGACTGGATGCTAAACCCAAAGGACCTACACACAGACACTCATACAACTATAAGGAAAAATGAGAAATAAAATCAGTGGATCGTTATTGATGTCAACATCCCTGTGGAAAAATACCCTAGTTTGACAAAATGCCCAAAGAATCTATTATTTCTTACAAAGGCATGTGAACCTCCAAAGACCTCATTAAAACTTTGATATTAAAAAAGAAAAACACAGGGCTGGGGCTGGGGCCAGTGGTAGTGCACTCAAGATGCTAACAGGTCATCACCACAAAGATCCCTCATATAACTACTCCCTTTTTACCCCTTACCATCCATCCCTAGCATGTATGAGGCACTGGGTTTGATTCTCAGTACACATATAAATAAATAAAGGTCTAACAACAACTAAAAATATATTTAAAAAAAAGAAAAGAAAGAAAACAACATGAAAAAAAATGAGAAGCCAAGAAGGAAAGGAAATATTTGCAAGTCATGTCTGGAATATATGAATACTTTATAAAGTACCTGAACAGATATTTCAATGAAAAATATACAAATGATATTATAAGTATGTGAAAAGAAGCTCACCGTTAGTTATCAGGGAGATACTAATTATAACTATATGAGGTATTGGTTTACATTAACTTTAATTTTAGGGCTGAGGTTGTGGCTCAGTGGTAGAGCACTTGCCTGACACATGTGAGGCCCTGGGTTCAATCCTCAGCACCACATAAAAATAAATAAATTAAATAAAGGTATTATGTCCATCTACAGCTAAAAAAACAAAAAAAGAAAAATGTTTAAAATTTTAGAGTAGCTAAAATCAAAAAGTTACAATAACAAGTATTAAAGAAGATATTGAAGAAACTGCAGCCATCATACATTGCTAGTAGAAAGTCAAGCGGCAAAATCTCCTTGAAAAGGTATCTTATAAAGAATTAAGCATTCGGGCTGAGGCTGTAGTTCAGTGGTAGAATGCTTGCCTAGCAGGTGTGAGACACCAGGTTCGATCCTCAGTATGACATAAAAATAAATAAATAAATGAAATTAAAATGTTGTGTCCATCTACAACTAAAAAATAAATAAAAGAGTGTGGTTGTAAAGGCCTGTAATCCCAGTGGCTCAGGAGGCTGAGGCAGGAGGATAGTAAGTTAAAAGGCAACCTTCGCAACTTAACAACGCTCCAACAACTTGGCAAGACTTTGTCTCAAAATAAAAAACAAAAAGGGATAAGAATGAGGCTCACTGGTTAAGTGCTCCTGGGTTCAATCCCTGGTACCAAATAAGAATAAAGCATAGTGTCAAGGTAAGCTCAGCACCACAAGTAAAAGAAAAAAACAAAAGAAAAAAAGAAAGATAAGGATAAACTCCTTATGTAATGCAGAAATTAAATCCCTAGGTGTCTAGCCAAGAGAAAGTAAAACATCAACACAAAGGCATGTATGAGAATGGGAATGTTCATAGTGGCATTTCTGGAAATGATTCAAATGTTCACTGATTGGTGAGTGTATAAAAAAGATACAGTGTTATCCACACAAAGGGATATTATTCAGCAATAAAAAGAAATAAACCACTAGTACATGTTACAACATAAAGGGAACTTCAAACGTTAAGCCAAGAAACATTAGATACAAATATTATATAATTCTATTTATAGCAAATGTACAGAAAAGGCAAATCTATCAACAGAAATCCTATCAGTATCCACTCAATTGTAAAGAGGCAAAGGCAGACTAGAATAATAAAAATTTCTAAAACTAAATTGTGGCAATGTTATACAATCCATAAATGCATTAAAAATAGATGAATGTTAAAGTATATAAATTATACCTCAAAGAGGCAAATAAATAAACAGAACTGTAACTGTAAATAAATGCAAACTGTTAAGAGTGCAAACTCAGGAATAATACTGGTAAATTCAACATATCAGCATTAGAAAAAAATACTAACATATCATTTAAGCATTCAGTTTAAATCACTAGATAAAATGTCAACCCCAAGAGGCTGGGAGTATAGCTTAGTAGGAAGCCTTAGGGCCTAGCATGCCAGGGCTCAATCCATAGCACCACAAAAAAAAAATGATAATAAATCAAAGGGGGGGAAAAAATCTTAAGCAGGGCTTAGATTCTGGGGAGGCCATAGTGAGCCCCTGTCTCAACAACAACAAGGATGTCTATCACAGGCAGTTTAACAAATCTTGTTTAACAATCATCTGTTTCAGTTCCTTGTTTTCACACTTCTCAAACAAAATCATATTATACCACAAAAACTCACAATACCTTAATAAGAGCTTTTTTGGTGAGTTTCTGATTAACTTCAGGCTTATTCAATATGTTTTTTGCTCTATGGGCATATTCCAGTGTACTCAGAGTTTCCTGTCATAAAAAGGAAAGGTCAATTAGGGAAGACATCATGAAGATAATGTAGTTTTTGTCATTGAGGATGTACTATATAATTTACAAGTAATAATTCATGGTTATATCTAATCTATAAATCTTAAAATAGACTACTATGCCAAACCTTTTTATCCTTCCTTTAACACTTTCTTCTTTATTCTTCTATTCAATTTTACTTTGTGTTTTCTTCCTTCTCTGTAATTTTCAGGGTCTTTACCCTTATAATTTGACCATTCAGAACAGTCTTAAACTCAATGAGCTTTACCAACTGATGAATAACAAAATGTCATATATCCATATCCATGTGACAACATATTATTCACCCATGAAAAGGAATGAAGTATTGATACACATTACAATGTGGATGAACCTTAAAAACATTATGCTAAATGAAAAAACCATTCACAAAAGACCACATGTTGTATGATTCCATTTATATGAAATGTCCAAAAAGGCAAATCTATAAATACAAAAAATAGTAATCTAGAGCTGGAAATGGAGTGGATGAAAAATGCTTATTAATGAGCAAAACTCTGGGGATGATAAAAAAAAGTTAAGTGATGGCATAATCTTATAATCTCAGCAACTCAGGAGGCTGAGGCAGGAGGATCACAAATTCAAAGCCAGCCTCAGCAACTTAGCGAGGCCCTATGCAACTGAGTGAGACCCCATCTCAAAGTAAAACATAAAAAGGGCTGGAGTAACTGTGCATTATGGCCCATGCTTACAATCCCAGTGGCTTAGGAGGCTGAGGCTGTAAGATCTCAAGTTCAAAATTAGTCTCAGCAGTGGCAACGTACTAAGCAACTCAGTGAGACCCTGTCTCTAAATAAAATACAAAATAGGGCTGGGGATGTGACACAGTGGTTGAGTGCCCCTGAGTTCAATCCCTGGTAACTGTCCTCCCACCCCGGAAAAAAAAAAAAAAAAAATTTTTTTTTGATGATTGCACAACTCTGTGAATATACTAAAGTCACTGAATTAATATAATTTTCATGGGTGAATTTTATGGATGTAAATGATATTTCAGTAAAAATATTTTTTAAATGAAAGGGGAACTGGAGCCCTTAGAAAAACTTTTCTAATATCATTTAAAGCAGAGGATAACAAGAAAATAAGAGCAGAATTTACCATCTTTGTTGCTTTGCTGGGATTCTCAAACATTCAACTTGGTTCTGCAACAGTAGAATTCACTTGATCCTAAGTTCTAATGAAATTACAACACCCACTGCTATTGACCCAAAGCAATTTTCTTGGAAGACTGTGGAAAAGCCATTTACAAAATTGGCTTTCTAAGATTAAAAACTGTATATTTTCAGTGTTGTCCTCCAGAACATATTCATATGCAATGTACAGATTCTTTTATCACAGTATAAAATGAATGAAACTAGTAAATGAACTTTTAAAATATATGATAGCTAAATATAGAATTATAACTTCTACATTTTGCAGCTTCCTTTCAAAGGGTTTACCTCAAGATTGAGAGATGCAGGAGAAATTGTTGCAATGATAGATGTTCTTGTTCGGCCCCCTAGAGAATCTTGGAGGATTCTAGTTAGTTTAGATTCTCGATAAGGAACATGAGGTGTTCTTTCTACAAGAGCAGTAATAACTCTTCCCAAAGTCAACAGAGATTGATTGATATTTCCAGCTTCCCGAGCTCTCTTGTCAACTGCTCCTGAACGACCAATGTTTTCACTTCCTGCAAGATCAACCTTTAATTTTAAAAATAAAAAGTCAGCCTATTGGAACTGAATTCAAAGATATGCATTCTCACACATAATATACTAAATTACCAGCAAATCAATTTTCTACACAAATTTCTTCTCCCTCTAGAAAGCTAATAACCCATGGAGCTGGGGCTGAGGCTCAGTGGTAAAAACACTTGCCTTGAACATGTGAGGCACTGGGTCTGATCCTCAGCACCACGCAAAAATAAAGATACTGTGTTTTCATCTACAATTAAATAAATATTTAAAAGAAAGCTAATAACCCAGTGACTACAGAAATATTATCTAGAAGTAAAAATGTCAAGCCATTCCATAAGAATGAAACAGTGGTATTAAGGTAGATGCTTACCAAGTTCAACTTTCCAATTTTAACAAGTTCTTCTCCGTCAATTGTAGTTTCTTTCATATGTATTGTAACAGAGAAAACTGAGTGGGAACGACTAGAAAAAAGACCACATTGCCCATTCATTATAAAGTAAAATATTGTTTGCTTCCTATAAAACACGAAGACCCAGAAAAGACCAAAATCCATAAGGGTAAAGAAAAATATTATCAGACAGGAGATATCATTAAGATTTTAGAAGACAGAAGGTATAGAACAATGAATAGGTTTTTCCTTTCTTATATATACTGCCTATAGGGGAGACCCCAATAAGAAGCTACCTGAAAATAACCTAAAATAATTAGAAACTAGAATTTTTAGACACACCTGGAAAATGGCTATGTGGTGGGATCAGAATAATTACTTGGTGTGTCAGAGCAGAAGGCTCCCAATCAATCTCTCTATTTGTAAGAACCACTTGAAATATGTCATTACCATAAATTCAGATACCACCAGGCAAGCCATCAGATCACTCTTCCTCCATGTCTACTGTTGTGTACAAGTATATTTCTGTTTTGAAAATGTTATCAGAAATAAGTAACTCCTTCTCCTAAACAGCAGAAATAGTAAACAGCATGCCTACAAAAACACCATAAAATAATCCCTGCTAGACCATAAAGTTTTTAAAAGTATACCTTAAGCTAAATACTGACATTTAAGTATTTATCTGAGGAAAACAAAAATCATATAGATGACCAAAGACATCTTTCTTTTCTGTATTAAAATGTGCACTTGGTGAACATCACTATGTTTGTTAATGTCATTGACAGTTGGCAGAGAATATGATAATGTTTAATTTTCTTCTTTGTGCTTTCATACTGTTTTTAAAAGTTTATAAGCATCATTTTTGTACATTGTGGTGGCTGGATGCTATAGCTCAGTGCTTGCCTAAAATGTATGAGGTCCTGGATTCAATCACCAGTATTACCAAAACAAAACAAACAAACATACCTAGGAATGTAATCCACACACCTTGAATCGTCCCAATTGGATTTCCCCTAATTTCCTAATTTTTCTAAAAAAGAAAATGGAGCTAGGATGAAAACTATGGCTTTCTTACCTAGAGTATGCATTCATCAAAGTTGCTGCAGTTGTTCTTTTTGCTGCCCCCTTCTCTAAAATTTGATAGACTTCATCCTTGTTATGTACAGTAATTTCTTCTAAACCTTTGATTATCACTCCCCTCTGATCAAATATCAAAAGAATATCAATTAAATTGGGTTTTTTTAAAAGGACACTGACTTCTTAAAGCCTTACACATTAAAATATGGAAACATATCATTCTCAAAGATAGTTACCTTGTTGCGGGGATCATCAAACATCTGTAGTCTCTCAGAAACATCAGAAGATGGATTAAGAAGATCAAAAAGTTCTTCATTATAGATTTCCAACAGAGACACTTTGACTGAAAATTCAGTACCATTATCAGTAAGTTTCTCAAAAATTTGATGAAGGGTTCGAGGAATTATACCAGCCAAAGGATCCTGAAATTATGTAGTAATGATTAAAATAAATGAAGAATGCCATTTACTATGGCACTTAAAACTCATATAACTATAAAGGACCTCCTTTACATTATATTTAAACAGAAGTACAATCAGCCCTCTGTGCCCACTGGCTCTGCATTTTACCAAATATGGATAGAAAATATTCTATTTTTTATTTCCTAAGCATGATGGCATATGAGCAATTTATATAGCATATACATTATATTAAATATTATAAGTAATCTAAAGATGATTTAAGGTATACAGGAGATATACCTTAAATCATCTTTAAGCATTCAATGACAAACATAATGATGTTCACCAAGTGCCATTAATACAGAAAAGAAGGATGTCTTTGGTCATCTATGATTTTTTTTCCTCAGATAAATGCTTAAATTCCTAGGTATGTTTGTTTTGTTTTGGTAATACTGGTGATTGAATCCAGGACTTCATACATAGGTTATATATAAATATAACATTTGACTTAAGGAGCTTGAGCATCCTCAGATTTTGGCACAAACCATGAAACTAGCAATGTGTGCATACATAGGGGACATAGCAGGGAGGTTATCCTGGAACAAACTCCTGTGGATACTGAGAGATACTGTATACTAAAGCAAGTTAAAAACAAACAACTTAATGTTAGACAACTCATTTTCAACAGTCTGTTCAACAGTATTCGCCAAACATTGCACAAATATGTCTTACTGTTTATCCATCTTCCTATCTGAGCATTACAGAAACCAATTAAATCATACTACTTATAAAACCAAATTCAATTATCCTATCCAATTATCCTCATGAAAATGTAATACCTTCATTTTAGTCAGAAAAAAAACAGGGATGTTTCTCAACTATCAAAGCATCCTTAATAAAACTGTTAAAAGTCTCTATAATTTGAAGTGATATGTCTATTCTATATCTTATAATGATTATAATTCTATAACTTTATCATCCATGTATAGAATATGCTGACAGCTCAGCTATGTTACCACTAAAAAAAGGACTTATCTAAAACTCAATAATTTGAAGAATTAAGTTATTAAACACATTTGGTGAAAATATTTGTGAGATATTCTATATGCTTTCTTCAAAACTAAACCATATAGTGGTCTTAATTTCTTGAACACTCAAGGTCATCATTAATAAAACACCATACTGCTCTTTGTAACTTTCATTACCTCATTGTAAAATCCTTTCCTGTAAGTTCTATTCATGCTCCAACTTTTCCACAATACAGAAGTCCCCTTTCTTATTCACAGTTTTGTTTTCTGTGGTTTCAGCTACTCATGATCAACCACAGTCCAAAATATTAAATGGAAGATTCCAGAAATAAACATTTTATTACAATTTAAACTGTGCACCATTCTGAGTAGCATGGTGAAATCTTACACCATCCAGACAGGGACATGAAATCATCCACTTATCCAGCACATCCACACAATATATGCTTCCTGCCTATTAGTCTCTGGTAGCCCTGTTGGTTATTAGATCAATTGCCCTAGGATTCAGATACCACTAATTTTATTTAGTAATGTCCCCCAAAGCATTAAGGGTATCAATAGTAGCAATTTGGAAATATCAAAGAGAGGCCGTAAAGTGCTCCTTTTAAATGAAAGGTGAAAAGTACAATAAGATATTTAGAGAGAGACCACAGTCACATAACTTTTATTATAATACATTATTGTCATAATTATAATGTGTCATAATGCCATAATTATCCTATTTTATTATTAGTTAATGTGCCTTACTCTTGCTGTGCCCAATTTATAAAACAAAAGAAAGGATTTTGCAGTGAGGCAATGAAAGTTACAAAGAACAGTATGATACCCCATTCCTAAATTCATGTTTGACATGGGTATTCTGAACTTCTCTATTTCGTGAGAGACTCACACACAAGTTTTATTCTGCTAAATTTCTGCCATATTAGAGATAAATGTGTTATAAAAAATACCTCCTCCCAGGTATATGTTTCATTAGGTGACCTTTCACCTTCCATAGTAAAAGTTTTTCCAGTACCAGTTTGGCCATACCTGTCAAGATTAACAAAGTGTTTGATCAAAAACAAATACATACACCTTTTCATAAATTTGAAAAAACACATACATATAAATTTTCATCAACTTACGCAAAGATAGTACAATTATAGCCCATAATAACTTCATCCAGAATTGGACAAACAACACTGCGGTAAACATCGATTTGTTTAGTAGATGCTCCAAAAACCTATTAAGATAAAGAAATTTCTTAAAGAAAATGTAAAAGATATTCATTTTAATAATTTTACTTGTAATATGTTAACTAATTCAGCTCATGAGAAATCACTTAACAACTGGAAGAGATAACTGAAATTCATAAGAGTATGCCATTTTCCAGGAGAAATATGTACATTAGGATTACTTTACAGTAGTGAATAATTAAAAAGTAGCACCATTTTATAAGAAAGTAAGTACCATGTCAAAAGTATATGTCTTCCTTGAACTCTTATCAGCCAATCCTCCAGTTCGTACACTAACTTCTTTTCGAACGTGATCACACTCCACTACTGAATGGGCGTTAACTTTCCGCTCTGCCAAATTAAATGGTCTGTAAAAACAAAAACCCAAAGTTATTCAAGAACTCTTAATTTGGGATGGGGATGTGGCTCGGTGGTAGAGAATTTACTTGGCATGCATGATGCCCTGGGGGGTTCCATACCATAACCACAAAAAACAACAAGACATTTTCACTAACAACATTGATAAGAAAAATGTGAAGGGGCTTGGGATGTGGCTCAAGTGGTGCCGTGCTCACCTGGCATGCGTGAGGCACTGGGATCGATCCTCAGCACCACATAAAAATAAAATAAAGATATTGTGTTCACCTTAAAAAAAAAAGAAAAAGAAAAAAGTGAAATATGAAGCTGTGACTCACTGTTAGTGATGAGGATTAAGTGGGGGCTAAATGCTAAAGCAGAGAAAATTATAAGGATTTAGTCCCAGAAATAAAATTCTTTTTAAAAAAATTTTCAAAGATATATAAAACATTACAATCCTAACAGTTTTACAGGGTGTGGTGGCACACAGCTATAATTCCAGTCATTCAGGAGGCTGAGGCAGGAACAATGCAAGTTTGAGGCCAGTCTCAGTAACTTCGTCAGACTCTGTCTCAAATAAAAAATAAAAAGTACTAGGGATGTAGCTCAATGGTAAAATGTCCTTGGGCTCAACCTCCAGTATGGTTCCCCCGCAACCAAATTCTAACAGTTTCTTCGAGTGGATGCTAAGTTGTCAAAAATGCTGTTTTTCCCCCCCAGAATTCTATTTTCACTATTCTTACAATCTAATCAAGTTAGGTTATGATGGCATAGAAATAACAGGTCAATTTTTATTCAAAATGCAAAACGTCCAGTGTATATCTGGCACAAAATAAATAGTAGATAAAAAATAATGACAAATATGTTGAGCACCATGTGTCAAGTACTCATTGTTCCCAATACTTAATATGTGCTAACTCACTTTGTCCTCACAACATTGTGACATTTATAGTATCACTAGATTTATTTTTCAAATGAAAAAACTGGAATAGAAGGGCTACATTGCTCAAACATATAGGATCACTGATTCATTCTACTGAACTGCCTAAAAAAAGGTATTTCACTTAGAAGATTATTTCTTCAGGGAATTCTTCCCAGGACACTTCCCTCCCCCACTTGTCTAAAGATCACATTGAATTGTGCCCTATATTCCTAAAGCACCTTTTAGGTACCCTTTCTTTCTTTAAAAAATAAAATAAATATGTGTATTAGTTTTTAGGTGGACACAATATCTTTATTTCATTTATTTATTTTTATATGGTGCTGAGGATCGAACCCAGTACCTCACACATGCTAGGCAAAAGCACTCTGCCACTGAGCCATAACCCAGCCCTTATTTATCCTTTCTTAAACATCACTTCTCATATAATAATTTGCCAGTGTTTCTTAGTAGACCTCAGACTGCTAGGGAAACAAATCCTGTTTAGTTTACTGTTTCCCTGGGGCTCACTACTATGCTTAGCATACAATAGGTTCTCAAATATTTGTGTTACTACTTTACTTAATAAACGTCATTCTAGAGGCTGGGGTTGTGGCTCAGCGGTAGAGAACTCGCCTCTCACGTGTGAGACCCTAGGTTCGATCTTCAGCACCACATAAAAAATAAATAAACAAAATAAAGATATTGTGCCCATGTATAACTAAAAAAATATTTTTTAAAAAAATGTCATTCTAAGAGGAATGATGGGGAAACTAAAAAGAATCACAGTCCACAGAGCAGCATCCATTAAGACATTTATACACATAATGCACAGTTGGGCCAAAGGAAACAACCTGTTATTCCAAGTTCATTTCCCTCACTGAGTAGTGTACATTTTGGAAGGAAGAGCCAAATAGGAAATTATCTTCCCCTTATCACTAGACAACCCAAGTTACCATTTATTTTAAAAGGATACCTCAATTCCCCATAGCATACCTCATGTCATTAGCTTACATATATATTTTTTATATTTGCAAACTCCATTTTATTGTGTGGTTTTTTGGTTTTTGGTTTTTTGGGTGTGTGTGTGTGTGTGTGTGTGTGTGTGTGTGTGGTTAATTCACAATCTGGTACATATAGGCAGTTAAAATTGGTTATCATTACTCATCAGAAGCCGCTTTGTATAACAGGCTTCATGAAAACATCATAAAACAGAATATGTAGTAACAATTTCCTAAAAATCAATGGTTGTAAACATTCATGTTTCTAAGAAAACAACTTTACATATACATGTTGGGGTTTTTTTTTGGGTTTTTTTTTTTTTTTTTGGTGCTGAGGATCAAACCCAGGGCCTCGAACGTGCTAGGCGAGCGCTCTACCACTGAGCTACAATCCCAGCCCACGTATACATGTATTTTAAGAAAGCTATACCTGTTACATAAACTCAGACAACAGAAGGAGTGTGCAATTTCACTAGCTTACTTTTGAGTGATCAGAAGACCAAATATGTGGGCTAGGATTCAGGCTCAATGGTAGAGCGCTTGCCTCACATGTGTGGGGCACTGGATTCTATCCTCAGCACCACATAAATAAATAAAATAAAAGTAGTATGTCCATCTATGACTAAAATTTTTTTAATTAAAAAAAAAAAGAAGACCAAATTTGTGATATCAGGAAACTGAACAATTCCCAGAAAACATCTCATAATGATATCATTTGCCAATTGTACTAAGCCTACACAATGCATACAACACAAATGAATATGCAATATTATTAAACATTCTACTTATATGGAGGTAGGCTAAGAAAGTATCAACAAGTGGGGTGAACTGCTCTCCAATGACTAAAGCCAATTACTCTATTATTCCTCGCATCCCTGAACTCTCTTGCCTGGGCACGATTAAGTTACCAAGTAAATACGGATCAAGTTGTCAGAATTGAGTCATAGGAAATTCATATAGATCACACATTCCTAAAAGTCATCAAAACCCCTAGAGGAGCTTTTGGAACTATCTGTACTAGTAGAAAGAGTACTGCTGAGCCACTATTTTCCTATCCAGATTTATCTAGCTAATTCAAAACTGCAAAATCACCACTGATTACGCTAACAAACACATCAATTTGTTGGTCTCAGTATAAAAATTTAAACAACCAAAATGGTGAGGAAAGAGAGATTAATGATTTTAAAAAAAATGTTTTTTAAAGTTCTATCTTGGGGCTGGGGATGTGGCTCAAGCGGTAGCGCGCTCGCCTGGCATGAATGCGGCCCGGGTTCGATCCTCAGCACCACATACAAACAAAGACGTTGTGTCCTCCGAAAACTAAAAATAAATAAATAAATATTTAAAAAATAAATAAATAAAAAATAAAATAAAATATGCAACTTAGTGAAGCCCTAAGCAACTTATTTCAAAATAAAAACTAAAAAAGAGCTATTTTGCAATTTAAATTCTATTTCTAACTCAATGGCAAAGTGTCCCTGGGTTCAATACCCAATACCCACCCACCCACCCCACCCCTAGCCCCAGCCCCAGCCCCACCAATCTAAAACCTGAAGGAATAAAACAAACAAAACCCACAAGAAAAACATTAAAATGTGAGGGAGCCATTCATTGTAGATCTTTGGGAGGAAAAGCTTTTCTGGTACAGAATAGAAATTGCAAAGGCCTCTAGACACAGCGGTCCACAATCCCAGAGACTCTGGAGGCTGAGGCAGGAAGATTACAAATTCCAGGCCAGCCTTGGCAAATTAAGGAAAACCTGTCTTAAAGTTTAAAAAAAAAAAAAAAAGAAGAAGAGGTAGGGGTGTAGTTAAATGATAAAGAACACAAGTTAAATCCCCATTATCACTCCCCCTAAAATAGAGAGAGAAAGAAAAGAAATCCCAAAGGTACTGAGATAAAAGTATAGTAGATGCATTTAAAAAAAAAAAAAATGTATGTGTACTTAAGTGACCAAGAATCAAAGAAGAAATCACAAGGGAAATGAGAAAATACTTAAAAGACAAATGAAATTAAAACAACATATCAAAATTGATAAGATACAGCAAAAGCATTGCTAAAAGGAAACTTTATAGCTATAAATCCTATATTAAATCCTATATTAAAAAAGCAGGAGCTGGGCATGGAGATGCACACCTGTAATCCTAGCAACTTGGGAAGTGGAAGAAAGAGGATTGCAAACTTGAGGCCAGCCTTGGAAATTCAGTAAGATGCTGTCTCAAAAAATAAAAAGGGCTGGGAATGTAACTCAGTGGTTGGGCACCCTTAAGTTCAACCATCAATACCAAACAAACAAATAAACAGGAAAGATCTCATATCAGCACTCTATTTTTGCAATTTAAGGAACTAGAAAAAGAATTAATTAATCTCAAAGACAGGAGAAGAAAGAAAATAATGAAGATTAGAGATAAAACAGAGAACAGGAAAATAATATAGAAAATTAATGAAACAAAAAGCCAATTCCTGGGCTGGGGATGTGGCTCAAGCGGTAGCGCGCTCGCCTGGCATGCGTGCGGCCCGGGTTCGATCCTCAGCACCACATACAAACAAAGATGTTGTGTCCGCCGAAAACGAAAAAATAAATATTAAAAAAAAATTCTCTTTAAAAAAAAAAAAAAAAGCCAATTCCTCAAAAAGATCAACAAAGTTGACATAGCTAGATCAACTACGGAAGAAAAAGGCTCAAATTACTAAAATCAAAAGTGAAAGTGGGAACATTACTACTGACTCAATAGAAGTAAAAAGGATTGTTAAGTGTTATGAACAATTGCACCCCAACAACTATAACCGAAATGAACAAATTCCTAGAAATATAAAACCTAGCCACACTAAACCACAAAAAATAGAAAATCTGACCTATAAGTAGTTGGTAAGCAGATTGAAGCAATAATCAAAAATATGCCAAAGTCCTAGACTAATGAGTTCAAGGTAATTTCTACCAAATATTTCAAAAAAGAACTAGTTGAGCTGGGGATGTGGCTCAAGCGGTAGCTCGCTCGCCTGGCATGCATGCAGCCCAGGTTCGATCCTCAGTACCACATACAAACAAAGATGTTGTGTCCACTGAAAACTAAAAAATAAATATTAAAATAAATAAATAAATAAAATAAAAACAAAAAAGAACTAGTACCAAATCTTCTCAAATTGAAGAGGAGAGAATATTTCCTAACTCATTCTATGAGAACAGCATTACCTTAATACCAAAGTCAAAGACACCATTTGAAATCTACAGATAAGTATATCTTATGGATACTGATTCAAAAATGCTCCACAAGGGGATAAGAGTATAGCTTAATGGTAGAGCACATAACTAGCTTGTATGAGGCTCTGGATTTCATATCCAGCACAGGGGAAAAGAAAGGCTCACCAAAATACTAGTAAACTGAACTCAGTAGCATATTAAAAAGATTATATACACTCCCAAATGGGAATCATCCCCAGAATGCAAGGATGGTTAAACACACAAAAACTGATTGATGTGATACAGAATGAAGGGGGGGAAAAAAAGACACAGAATCATATCAACTGGTGCAGAAAAGAGTATTTGACAAAAACCCTTTCACGATAAAAACAATGAATGGGGAAATAGAAGGAAAAGTACATCAACATAGTAAAAGTCATACGTGAAAAATCTACCAGAAATATCACACTCAATGGTCAAAGACTGAAAGCTTTTCCTTTAAGATCAAGTGCAGGGACTGGAGCTGTGGCTCAGGGGTAGAGCGGCTTAGCACATGCAGGCTCTGGGTTTGATCCTCAGCATCACATAAAAATAATAAAGGTATGGTGCCCAACTACAATTATAAATAAATAAATAAGATTAAGTGCAAAGCAAACTGGGCATGGGTGGAACATGCCTGTAATCCCAGACTCCTGAGGCTAAGATAGGAGAATTCTAAATTCTGGGCTAGTCTTATTTTTTTTTTTTTTTTTAGTATTTTTTAGTTACAGATGGATATAATATTTTTATTTTATGTATTTATTTTTATGTGGTGCTGAGGATTTAAGCCTTGTCAATCAATAAGGCATATACAAAAAGACAATCCTCAGAATGGGCTAAAAATTGTGCACATCATACATCTGAAAAGGGATTAATATAATATTCAGAATATGTAAAGAACTAAAAGTAAACAACAAAACAAATCCAATTAAAAAATGGGCAAAGGACTTAGACATTTTTCCAAAGAAGATATACAAATGGCCAATAAGTACATCAAAAGATGCTTAACATGATTAATCATTAGAGGAATGCAATAAAAAAAAAATAATGAAATACCCCACCTCATACCCATTAGGATGGCTACTATCAAAAAAAGCAGAAAATAATAAATGTTAATACAGACGCAAATTAATACAGACGCAAATTAATCCCGATACTGACGCAAAGAAAGTGAAACACTTGCACTGTGTGAGAAATGTAAAATGATGTAGCTACTGTGAAAAACAGGATATTAGCTTCTCAAAACAATTAGCAATAGAATTATCATATAATCTAGCAATCCTAATTCTGGCTAAATACCCAAAATAACTGAAAACAGGGTCTCAAAAGAGGTATTTGTATACTCATGTTCCTAGTTGCATTATTCACAATAGCTAAAATGTGGAAGAAACCCAAGTGTCCATAGACACATAAATGAAGAAACAAAGTGTGATACATACATACTATGGTGTACTACATAGCCTTAAACATAAAACTAATTCTGACATGTACTACAACATGCATGAACCTTAAGGACATTATTCAAGTGAAATAAATCCATCACAAAAGGATAAATACTACATTATGATTCCACTTATATGAGGTACTGAGTGGAAAAACTATGGACAGGGGCCAGGGAAAGGGGGAAATGTGGAGTTTTGGTTAGTGAGTATAGAGTTTCAGTTTTTCAAGATGAAGAATTATGCAGATGGATGAAGGTGATAGGTGCACAATATTATGAATATATTAAATGCCACTGAAGTTGTTTCCTTAAAAGGATTAAGGTGGTAAATTTTATGTTATATGCATTTGGAATATTTTAAAAACTGGGGGACTAGAAAAGAGGGAAGTTGTTGGAAGGGGGAATACAGGAGGTCTGTATAAAATCTGGCTCTTGCCCTGCCAAAGATCTAAAATAATTTTTACAGTTTTTAAAGTATTGTTCAAAAAAAATAAAACCAGAGAATATGTCACTGAGACCATGTGTAGCCTGCAAAGTATTTAAATAAAATAAATACTTATTTATCCAGACTCTTTACAGAAAAGATTTGCCAATCCCTGAAGGCATAGTAATTCATGTTATTATTTATTTATGCTTAATGACAGACTTGCACCAGGAAGGGAAAGAGAAAAGCCTAACTAGAAAAGAAAAAGTAGAAACCCTCTCTATATAAAAATTATTGTACATGTTAGATCAGAGGATTTTTCATTGGTGATAAAGTAAAAAAACCTCCTTCAGGCTGGGGCTGGCATGTGTGAGACACTGGGTTTGATCCTCAACACAACCTAAAAGCAAATAAATAAAATAATGGTATTGTGTCCATCTACAACTTAAAAAAAAAGTAGATATATAAAAAAAAAGGTAAGGCTTGAAATATATTAAGATAATAAACATCAAGGTCAAGAAAATGGTTAACTGTGGATGGATGAGGAGGCATAGGGAGAGGTCCATGGGAGACTCCAGCTATAAGGATGATTATGTTTCTTAATTTGGGTGATAGATACTCAATGTTTGCTACAGTGTTCTTCATAACTTTTTATAATTCTGAAATATTTTTTCCACAGAAGGCACATTTCCTTATATTTAGACATCAAAATAAAAAAAAAAAATTACATTTGGAAAAAAAAATTAAAAAGCCCAAGAACCTCAACTAGCAAGTGTCATCATTGACTAGGCTTAAGGTTCCTACATAATTTCCTCTCTGACACTTAGTTTGGAAACTCAGTCATCACCTTAGATACCTACAATTCAAGTCACCATATTTGAGTAAACCAAAATCAAAGAAAGTTTGTTGATAAAGGTTTTTTAAAATAACATTTTAATTTTAGGATACTTCTGGGTACAGAAAAGTAGCAAGAGCAACTTTTAACAACAGCAACAAAAACAGACACACAGATACATATACAGTATACGTGGAGAGCCTCTAAGAAACTGAATAATTCAATCTCTAATTAAGCAGCAGTTTCTATAACAATTATGTTCTTCTTCTACTAGTTAAACTGGGGCGCGGTGGCGCACTTCTGTAATCTCAGCTCTTGAGAGGGTGAGGCTGAAGGATCCCTTGAGCCCAAGAGTTAATGCCAGCCTGACAAAATATCGAAACCCCAGTTTCTTAAAGAACACAAAGATTGAGAAGTTATCTGGAAAACAGTCAGGAGGGAGTTGAACACACCCCTAAACATCCCTCATCCCGAAAATTCTGTCTCCTTTGGTATATGAACAAATGATTCCACAAAGGAAAGTCAAGTTGCCGCACAACCAGACACCTACACTAACTTAAGCTGTCTAGTTCTTCTGTAACGTAACTTGCAATGTTTAAATTCAGCAAGTTTGGGGCTGGGGATGTGGCTCAAGCGGTAGAGCGCTCGCCTGGCTTGCGTGGGGCCCTGGTTTGATCCTCAGCACCACATAAAACAAAGATGTTGTGTTCGCCGAAAATTAAAAAATAAATATTAAAAAAAAAATTCCCTCTCTCTAAAAAAAAATCAGCAAGGTTTACTTAACAGAGATGTAAAAGATACTGTATCTAGAATAGTTAAAGAAAGTAAGCAATTACTTTTTTCGAAGTGATGGGAGATAACCCCAAGATAAACGCTAATCAATCTGCAAAGTAGGTATGCAGTGCTATTTCTAAATTGACAAAATGCATGGAGTATCAACCGCATAAAACTGACACCTAAGTCTTTATCGATATTAGTTCAAAAATAACGCACCTTCCCGTAAAGAACAATGATCAAAAACTCTCCTGAATAGCAGTTTAACTATAACCTGTAACACAAGCATCCTTTTTTTCGCCTGAAAAACAGACCCTACTTTACATCTTACACCAACTAGTATCATTCTTATTGAGCAGAACGTAACCAGATACGGACCAAGAAACCCGTAAGCCGGATCCCCTCGGGAAACGCAAACAAAACTCTTCTCTCCTGGGACTGCGCAGGAGGGAGCCCAGCAGCAAAGACCGACTCTCAGAATCCAATAGGTCTCTCCTACCTGCATCTCACCACCACCTGGATGTTCCTCCCTTTCTCCTCTTTCTTCTTCGCGGAGGAATTTATCTGGGACGCCATGACTGTCCCCGCCAAAAAAATCAAGGCCTGGCGGCGGACTAGGGCGCTGTGGGGCTTGAAGAGGTTCGGCGACCTATGCGGGCCCGCGTGCTTGCCTCCTCCGCCGGGTGCCGCCGCGGACAGGAGGACCGACGCACGCAGCTAGCCGTCCCGGATCTCCACCCAGGACTCTGACTGGCGGTGGGTGACCTGTCCCGCTCTAGCCGGACAGAATACCCAATCTTGTCACTGCCCAGAAACTCTGCAACGACTCGGCGCCACAATTTGAAACAGGAGCCTATTTGCCAAGCCAATAGTAGCGCGGACGCGCAAAGCACCATGGGACGTGATGTCATCGCCGGATCCCCGCCTAAGGGGCGTGGCCCGCGGGAAAGTGAAAAACCCGTCTGTCCGCGCGCCCCCGGAACTCGTACCCGGGGAGAGAGATCTGGGGTCAAAGCGTCACCTTCAAGCTTGGTCTTACATAACGTTGTTAACCCAAAATTCCCTCAACTACAAAATGGAAATAATAGTAGCCATCTCAGAAGGTTGTGGTGAGAATTAATGAGCTTGTGCGGCTCAGTAGCTTAGATCAGCACTTTATAGTAAGTGCACAGGAAAGGCCGACCGTGGTTGTAATTACAAGAAATTTTTAATTTAAAAAGAGTGGTATTGGAGTACAGAAGAGAAGTCCGAAACGAACCGAACTTCCGGAGACAGTCCAGAATAATTAGGAAGTGTTAAGAGGTAAAACTAACACAATCGTGATGAAATAGACATGATGAGTGTCATGGATGGACTCTGAACTTTATTCTTTAGCAGACAAGAAGTCATCGCTAAATGATCCCAAACAAGAAAGCAAGAGTGGATTTGTGATTTTTAGAACAACCGCGGTGCAGCGCCGGACACACCGCAGTCCTCCGGCGTCCGGAAGAGGTTACGCAAACACGCAGCAGCGGCCTACAAAACCCAGCATGCCTTGCTCACCCGCGCCTGCCAGTCTCGGGCGGCCTCGGGCCTTCTGTAGGCGCTCTGTGAGCGTCTTTGATTCGCCCAGTTAAGGTGTGGGTCGCTGGGTCTGGAAATGCTGAAATCTGTCGCTACGCGGTAGTCAGTTCCAGGATCCTAACTCACCGGAACCTAGACGTTGTTGGTGGCTCATAAGTAATGGCTGGGTGCGCTAGAAAGCTGTCATGTCCCTTAAGCATCTGACGTTCAGACCCCTGCTCATCTCTCTTCTGCAGTCTGTCAGCTTATAGCTTAGGTGGCTCACTGACGTCTCAAAGTGGACATAGGTAAAACGGAGGTCTGTACCCCCTTACCTGCACCCTAATCTTTCTCATCTGGACAATTGGTGCTAACCAGAACCTTCAGCTCTCTCAGGTAACAAGTGTCCCTATTTCTACTCTTTTCTCCTCTCCCTCCTGTATTCACTCAGCATGGGAAGTATCTTAAAAAATAAAAATCAGATTATGCCCTTTGTCTGCTTTTTTGCCAATCCCATAAACTTCATCCACTCTCTCCATACCTCACTACCATGCAAAACAGCTTCTAAGTGTCATCCCCCCCACACCCCCCCCCACCCCCCCCCCCCCCCCCCCCCCCCCCCCCCCCCCCCCACCTCCCCCCCCACCCACACACACACTCCCACCCACTGGTCTTGCATCCAGACCTTTTTATACTTAGTGTGCCCTCCGCCTGAAACTCTCTTCCTTTGACTTTGCATAGCTTACTCATTATTATCCTTCAGATCTCAGGCAGCTTTTCTTTCTTACCAGAGATCGAACCCAAGGGTGTTTGACCATTGAGTCACATCCCCAGATCCTCACTAAGTTGCCTGGCTAAGAAAGGTGTTTTAAAACACAAAGCTGGGAAAAAATAAAATAGAAAGCTTGCCTGGCATGGTGGCATGCACCAGTAATCCCAGTGACTCCCCAGGCTGAGGCAGAAGGATCACAAGTTTTGAGGCCAGCTTTAGCAACTTAGTAAAGCGCTAAGCAATTTGGGGAGATCCTGTCTTAAAATGAAGAGGGCTGGGAATGTGACTCAGTAGTTGAGCTCTCTTGGATTCAATCCCCAGTACCTATAAAATAAGGTCTGGGGATGTAGCTCAGTGGTTCAATCCCTAGTACCAAAAATAAGATAAAAGGACTTTCTTTCCTAATCATCCTGTCCAAAGCATGTTTCTTTTATAATTTTCTACCTCAGGACTCTGGTTATTTCCTTTATAACACTACAATCTGTAATTGCATTGTCTCCCTGGATAGAATATGTTTCATTAGGAACCCTGTCTTGTTCACTATTGATTTTCGAGTGTTTTTTTTTTTAACATTTTTAGTTGTAGATGGACACAATACCTTTAATTAATTTATTATTATGTGGTGTTGAGGATCGAACCCTGTGCTTCACACATGCTAGGCAAGCGCTCTACCACTGAGCCACAGCCCAGCCCCTGTGTTTTGAATGGAGTCTCACACACAGTAGTTGTTCAGTGACTATATATTGGGTACCTACCTGCAAGGAAATTATTTAACATCTCTCAGCTTTGATTTTCTTATCTTTATTATTGTGGAGATAAAAATAATCACTGTTGGGCTGGGATTGTGGCTCAGTGGCAGAGCACTTGTCTTGCATGTTTGAGGCACTGGGTTCGATCCTCAGTACCACATAAAAATAAATAAATAAAATAAAGGTATTGTGTCCATCTACAACTAAAAAAAATTTTTAAAAATAATAATCTGCCGCAGTCTGGCTGGGCACAATCAGGAGCCACTTGTCAAAAGAAACTAACTTTATTTTTAGAACCACACAAGCCAAACAAAACAGCCTCTCAGGAAAAACCCTCAGAGCCCCAACTGCTACCACCGGCTTTCCACAAGCCTCTCTCTCCAACACAAGCTTCTCTCCACCTCCCACAATCCTCCTGCTCTTGAGGCCGATTGGCTGGGTCACATGGGCGGAGCCAAAAAAGTCCCCCAATGAGCAGGTCCGTGGTCTGAAAGGGCAGGGAAACAGCCCAATGAGCATCACCGCAGAGGAGCCAATCAGCTAGATGTTGCTGGGGCCGCTGTGAGCCAATCATCAGCCGGCAGCTGGAAGTTTGCTGGCAGCTGGAAGTTTGCTGGGGCCCCTTCAGCTGTGTATTTATTTTTAAAAATAATAATCATTGTTGCCCTTCCTGGTGGCTCACACCTGTAATCCCAGTGACTCTGGTGGCTGAGTCAAGCAGTCCTCAATTTAAGCCAACTTCTGCTTTTTAGCAAAGCTCTGAACAACTTAGTGAAATCCATCTCAAAATAAAAAAATTAAAAAACGGCTTGGGGATGTACCTCAGTTGTAAAGAGTACTTGGGTTCAATCTCTAGTACCAATAATAATAATTATTGTTGTTATAAAGTTTAAAATAATAATATGTATATGTATAAAGTGCCCCCGTGTGGTGGCACATCTCAGAATCCCACCAATTTGGGAGGCTGAGGCAGGAGGACCTAAAGTTTGAGGCCAGCCTCAGCAACTTAGTGAGGCTCCACACAACTTAATGTGACCCTGTCTCAAAAACAAAAAGTTCTGGGGATGTGGCTCAGTGGTTCAGCACCCCTGGGTTCAGTCACAGGTACCAAAAAAATCAACAGCATGACACAAAAATAATCTCAAACTTCTTCTAATTAGCAAATATCAAAACTTTTAAAATTCCACCAGAAAACTTCTAGAACTAATAAATGAATTCAGCAGAGTAGCAGGATATAAAGTCAACACCCATAAATCAAAGGCATTTCTGTACATCAGTCTTTCAAATTCTCTGAAAGAGAAATTAGGAAAACTACCCCATTTACAATAGCCTAAAAAAAATACTGGGGATAAGTTAAAGAGTGAAAAACTGCTACAATAGAAACTACAGAACACTAAAGAAAGAAATTAAAGAAGACCTTAGAAGATGGAAAGATCTCCCTTGTTCTTGGATAGACAGAATTAATATTGACAAAATGACCATACTACCAAAAGCACTATACAGATTTAATGCAATTCCGATCAAAATCCCAATGACACTCCTCATAGAAATAGAAAAAGCAATCATGAAATTCTTCTGGAAAAATAAGAGACCCAGAATAGCCAAAGCAATCCTTAGCAAGAAGAGTGAATGAAACAGGTAGCATCACTGTTCCAGACCTTTAACTATACTACAGAGCAATAGTAACAAAAATGGCATGGTATTGACACCAAAATAGACTTGTAGACCAATGATACAGAATAGAGGACATAGAGACAAAGCCACATAAATACAGTTACCTCCTACTAGACAAAGGTGCCAAAAACATATTGGAGAAAAGATAGCCTTTTCAACAAATGGTGCTGGGAAAACTGGAAATCCATATGCAACAAAATGAAAATAAGCCCCTATCTCTCACCATGCACAAAACTCAAAGTGGATCAAAGACCAATGAATTAGACCAGAGGCCCTGTGCCTAATAGAAAAAAAAAAAAAGTAGGCCCAAATCTTCATCATGTCTGATTAGGCCATGACTTCCTTAATGAGATTCCTATAGCGCAAGAAATACAATCAAGAATCAATAAATGGGATTGATTCAAACTGAAAAGCTTCTTCTCAGAAAAAGAAACAATCAGTGAGGTGATGAGAGAGCCTACAGGATGGGAGCAAATTTTTACCACACGCACATCAGATACAGCACCAATCTCTAGGATATATATATAAAGAATTAAAAAAAAAAAACACTTAACACCCCTGTTAGAGTCTGTAAACAAGTCAAAATAACACCTGGCATTTTGTCAGGGGAATGTTAAAGTTCATAAACAAGTCTGGATGGTGCCTGGCAAAATGCCAGAGGGAGTGGTTTGAGAAGTAACAAAACCAAGCCATTAAGTGTGGAGATTCCTGATTGGTTGACTGATGTATCTAGTTTATGTTAATTAGATAGGCTGTGTGGAATGTATAAATACTGCTCCTGTCCTGCAATAAACGGCTCCCACTCCTGCTGTATCAATCTACACAAGTTGTTCGTCACCCCCCGGTTATTTTGCTGCAGCCGGACTGCGGCACACCCCAAAAACAAATAACTCAATCAATAAAGGGGCCAAGAAGCTGAAAAGACTCCTCAGAAGATGATTATACAATCAATCAACAAATATATGAAAAAATGTTTAACATCTCTAGCAATTAGAGAAATGCAAATCAAAAACACTCTAATATTTCATTTTACTGCAGTCAGAATGG